TTGTGCTCTTAAAGGTTTAACTTCCCTATTCCCTAAAAGGTCTAAATGCTAAAAGCTGGTTTAGAAACAGAGTTGACTATTTTATATTTCTGTTAGAGATCATGATCTAGTTGACATTAGCATTTATTTTCATTCATATTGAGCACAAATCATTTTTTATTGTACATTGTCGACACATTATTTCATATTTTCACACAGGAGGTGCAATTACGTTGTTTGTCTTTTTTATTAACTAAGTATGTTTGGATGCTTTGACTCCCACACACTTATATATCAACGCACAGCCATGGCTGCCACCCGTCCCTTAAAATACGGAATGGTCCCGTGTTTGAGGATAGAATAGCGCCCCCGTTGGCCGTACCGTCCCTCCGCATTGAAGGCGGCAACCCTACGTACTCGTGCAACCTGTCGCACCGACAGGAAAATAAGCGCGAGCAGAACGAAGCGATTTCACTGCTTTATTGCCGCTTGTCTCCCTGATTGTCCTTTTAGAGACACGTGAGGCCTCCCAGGAGATTGCAGTCATATTTATGAGAATAAAAAGCTGTCCAATGCCTTATCTCTGCCTTTCGTTTTCTCAGATCTCCCTCATTCTAGCGTCCCCCCCCCCCCGTGGTCTTTTCTTCTATATTGCACCTGTCTCTCACGCGCTTTAGTTATCTCCGGAGTCCTCTTTATCCTCCAAACCCGCACCGCCGCGCCCCTCTCGCCGCTTTCTGTCTAACCGCTATCTTTCATTTTTTATTTGCGTGCCTGTCTCCTCCTGACGGAAGGTGCGTCGCAGCCCAGGCGGCTCCCAATCTGGGCCGCGTCACTTTGTTTGGCAGCGGTCGGCTGGAGGAAGGCGCGGCTGCGGTTGCATCGTCAAAACGCGCGCACCCTCAACCGCAGGCGCCTCAACAGGCCCCCCCCCCCCCCCCCCACGAAGACGGGGTAGATTAAAAGGCGGGGGCCAAGAAGCTTTACAGCGATGCTACGGAATTTGAAAGGTGTCATGCAGTCCTGTTGTAATGTTGTAATGAGCGTCCTTTCCTCCGTGCCTGTAATCGGCCGTAAGTGGAAGATGATTGGCTATAAAGGACCGCCAGAAAGTCCATTCCGCGCAAACACAGAACACACGTGGCGCCCTGCCGCCCCCCCCCACCCCCCCTCGCCATCCCACATGCAGGAAACCTCTCCGTCTTATTGGTAACATCTCCCCCCTCGCATCCTCCTGAAGAAAGAGCGAGATTGCTGTACACACGCGGCCCGGCACTACATCCCAAAGCTATTAGTTGCTGACAGCGTCCTCCATTCAGGCCCGTCTGCCCCCCCCTGCCCCCTTCCTCCCCCCCGCACGCACACAACTCTCGGGGCTCGCCTCTCTCCGCACGCCGCGGCGCTCCCCCTTTAATAGCTTTCCGGCGCTGCAATCTAGCCGCCCGGCCCGTCGAGTCAATTGAGTGTATTATGTTGGTAATTGGAGGCCGTTGATTGACAGACGAAATGCGTCGCAGGGACAGAAAGTGCTACTTGCACCAAAAGCGAATCACAAAAAGGGTTTCTTCCTTTTCTTTTTTTGCTTTCCCCGGGATCACGAGAGTACGGCGAAAGGACGCAGGAGGAGCCCGAGGTCATTTCTCTTAGAGAGACGAGGACCTGAGGGATACTTTTCACCTCACACAAACTGCACCGCGTACTGTGGTTGCCCGTTTTTTCAAGCGGGCTTCATAAGCGTGTCATAACTTTCCGTTAAAACGACTCTGACGTGTCGTCTTCCGTCCTCCGCCCCCGCGCTGCCTCTCGTTGCCCACACTTAATCAAGATCCATCGTTCCCAGCAGTCTGTGTGTGTGTGTGTGTCTATATTCGTGGGATTTTCAGTTTGAATTACGGCCTGTCGCATCATTAATATCCTGTCTTCAAATATATGCTCTTTTCATTCAAACTCAACGGTGCTTTTATTTCTGTAATTTCTGCCCAAGGTCAAGCCCGTCTGGAGGTCGTGCGGACGGATGAGTGCGTCTGAGAAAGAGGAGGAATTGTGGGCCGCTGATGTAGAACTGTGAGGAAAATAGCTTCGGGTTGAGGTAGATGAGTATTTTGTTGATACACGGAATTGGATGTTTTTCGGCGGTACCTCGTTGGTCCATTGTTGACCCGAGTGCTAAATGGAAGGCTGAGAGTCTCGAAAGAGCGATCGCACAAGCCGGTGCGATCTGAAGCAAAGTTGTTCAAGGGAGTTGGAACTGTTGTTATGGCAAAAAGTGTTGAACCTGAATGACTGACAAAAAAATTCAGACATTCGGAAATATTCCTAATAATAATAATGATAATGATCATTGTTAATAGCAAGCGCAAACCCTACAAATAAATGTACATAAATAAATGTCCGACTCTTCGTAGAGGTCCACGCGATCAAAGTGACGGCGCGAAACTTTGAGGAGTTTCGAGAATTGTTGGATTTCCACGAGTGTAAAAGATCTAAACATCTCCTCGTCGCTATCCAGCGTTAGCTAACGTCCGCGCCGCTGTCCTTGCGGGAAGCACAAGCGAGTCTCGGGGGGGTGGGCCGAGATCGCGTGGCCTCCAATTAGCGCACCACCTCAGTCAGATAAAGGATCAATGAGTCAGGCACAATTTTAGCTAAACAATCCCTCGGGACCTGCAATCTGCTGGAAGGGAATGTATTTTGGTCATTTCGCGAAGAAGTGGGATCGCGTTCCTCCTCATTCCCTCTCAAATTGCCTACCGAGTGGAGCTAATGAGTCGCTACGGACTCTCGACGGGTATTATGTGTTTGTCCAATGGGCAATTTGTGGCGAACGAACATTCACATCTGTACAAAATGGGTAGAAATTTGCTTCCGATTCTATCAGCATATTTTAAAGCACCTTTTTAATCTGAAAGGCATTTTTTACATTACTGATATTTGATGGAACAGACGTGTTTTCACGCTGTATGTGTGCACTTGCCCCCTGTGTCCCTGAAACACCCTTGTGTTGCCTCTGAATTGCTGACGCCGCTGTAACCGAACCTCCCCCCCCCCCTGGTAGCTTCTGCCATCGCAGTCCTCCTCTTTATATTCAGAATGGCGTCCTGAGGTCACAATCCAACGGGGCAACAGACCGAACCAAGGAAAACCCGAAGAGACGAAAAGGAAGTTGAGGTGGAAGAAATTGCTGCCAACTGTCCCCACAGTCGCAGGGTCGGCCAGAGGTCACGGGTGAGGGGCAGGAGCCGCCTGCTGTCTTATTAGCGGTGGGGCCAAATCAGCCGTAGGCCCCGTAGAGGTGGCCTGGCTTGTCCGGTCCCAGTTGATCCCCCCCCCCCCCCCCCCCCCCTCTTGGGGCCGACACCTGGCTGGCTGCCCCTGTTAGCGATTCAGCGGCGGGGAAAAGGTCGGTGGTTAACGGCTCCGGGGGACGAGACAGAGACTTCACAGAGCACAAGCTTGTTTTTTATTATAATTCACAACTCTTAATCACATTGTGACAAAGCCATAAGGATGCAATTGGGTTTGAATTCATCATTCAACTCAATGATGGTACAAGTCATTTTTTAAGACACTGTGATAAAAACATCTTTATTTAACACAATTGTTTCAAAGTGAAAACATTTCAAACATTTTGTCAATTAAGCTTGTTAGTTATCTAAATGAAGCAGCGTGAGTGAAATGAGGGATCATTTTAGGAGCGGCAGTTGCATGTGTTTGGATTTGCTCGTGCGTGTTTTGATGTTCCAGTTCCCTCAAAGAGTAATTCATTCAATCCCCGAATGCCAAATAGCAAATTGCTTGGTAAGCGTGCTTTTAACAGAAGGTTTTCACATCATAACTAGAATGTAGTTTGCAGGCTGAATTAACGTTGCCGCTGCGTTTCCAGTGCGGGATGGGTGAGACGCGAAGGCCTTCCATGTGACGAGGCGGCTCCTTTCAAGCCTCCCGCCAGCCGTCCCGCGCCGATGCGCGCCGGCCCGTCGGGGGGGAGTGATGCATTTCATCGACGATCGCTCACCGCACACTTCAAACCTTCCCGATGAGCCCAAGAGTCTCACCTTTCGCCCGTCTGCCCGTCCATCACTCCGAGGGCTTACGGGCCGCGTTACTCGAACCCGCTCAAGCGCACTCGCGGGGGCCGAGCGGCTCGGCCAGCCAAGGCGCCGGCCTCTCGCCGCTTCCCCCGAACTGGCTTTAAATTGAAGCGGCGTGTCTGTCGTCCTTGTGGCAGCGGACGTGGAGAGGAATGTTCAGCCCGGGAAGTGCAACACTGCAGGGAGAATCAAACCCATGGACTTGAATGTTATCCATTAAAGAGGCTTTCTTCCTTTACTTGAGTGTTGGAGAAGGTTTTTTTTTCGACCCACTGAGTCATTCCTCAGGAGTCCCTCTGGGTTCATCAGGTCTCATTGCTATTCTGGATCCGGACCTGACATTTCTCTCATTCGTTCCAAATGTGAGCGTATCTGTTCCGGCCTATATATCAATATATATATATATAGAGAGAGAGAGAGAGATACAAAGACGATATAAATTGCTTGATAACCTTCACTCTCACATTTAAATGTTCCGCCATCAGTCGTCCAAATCAGTTGAGCACTTACTTGTAGGAGAAAGTTTGGTGTTAAAAGTGCATCTTTCGTTTAGAGGAGGCTCGGTAATCGTTTGCATCGTGACCTTTCCGTCTAGTTGAAATGACAACCGACACGAGATCGTCCAGATTGTTGCACATCCGTTGGCATTTAAATCGACAAAAAACACGCCAAAGACCAGGCGTGTTTATCGTGCTTCAAGAGATCCACCTTCATCCGTTTACTCCTTAATCCTTTCATAGTTATTATGGACCAGAATCTTCTATTTAAACACTTTATCGAGAGACAAAAAAAATACACGCAATACTTCAACCTTAAAAACACACCATATATATATAAATATATCACATTTGTGTTGAAGACCAGTTTTACCAAAGCTGTTAAACTGTCCTGTTACCTGACATTATTCTCGCTGTGTTTATCTGTACTCAGGATGAGAGACGGTTGGGATCTTCCAGCAGAGCCTTCTGTGTGAATGATGTTCTGTGCAGCTTGAAGACGAGCAGAGGGAGAGGCGTGCGTCTACACAATATCCAGATAATTAAGCTCTGACATAACGGTAGCTTGACAAACGTTCCTCTGATTAGATGAAAATCATGATTTGTGTGTGTGAAACCCAGCCAGATGCCCGAACACTGGATGTAACAGAACCATTTAAATGTGTGATGAATGTAGATCGTAGATTATCTTCTGTCATCAGCATTTATTGGATTGTGCGACGCCTGGAGCCGATTGTGCACAGGCCACATATGATAGATAAGATAAGAGCGAGTGGCTTAAAAACACGTTCTCGTAGCCTTTATTTGTGCTGTTGGGTTACAAACCTCAACGGCACCCGAACAACACCTTTTTCATCTATTGTGACACCACTTTTCTTTCTCTTTCGGGGCAACAGGAGCGCGACGGATTCACCGGGAAGCCGTTGGCCACGAAAAGGAACGGACGGACGAGCAGACTTTCATTTTTTTTTTTTGCTACGAGTGTGTGATGTGCTTTTGATTGACTGGAGAATTACTGCCAAACATATACGGGGGGTAAACAGAGGGCAAAAGCAGTTTGTTTGTTTGTTTGTTGTTGTTGTTGTGTAGACATCGGGGGTCCAGGGGTCAGACCGCTGAGGGTGACTTTGACAGCACGCCACAGGGCTCTGGCACAAGACCGAGAGAAGAAAGAAGAAAACGCCACGAGGGAGGGGAAAAGAGAGAAAAGCCGTGAAAATAAACGCAGACGAGAACATTTGTGACAAAACAACAAAAAATAAATTCAAACAGCTTTTCCTCCAAGGCTCTTTTCTCCAATCGCCCCTGTCGTATTCTGCAAAGCTTCGCTGGCCTGTCACAAAAACAAGGTTAGCAGTCTTTTCCCCCCCCGGCTTAGTGGCCCCCTTTCTGTGGCAGATACAAAATGTTTTATCAAACCCTGTTTATGGAAATGTCATGTCTCGCTGCATAATAGAGGAGCTAGAGACGGATGAAAAACAACACCAGAGGCTGACAGGCCGCCAGCGAGGGGAAGTTCCTGCGTTAAAAATGAGTTCTCAACAAGGGGCTCGGGCAGAAATGACCGCTCACCTCGGCGTCCCCTCGCGCTTTCACCTTCACCCGCGAGGCCCTGTTTGGGGTTTGGATCCATCCAAAAAAATCATCCAAAAAATGTGCCCCATTTCCATGAGAGAACCAGAAAAAAAGAAATGACAGAAAGAAATGAGATCTGATGGCGGATGTGGGGAACGGGGAGATGAAACTGTCAAATATCTGTGTGAAAAAGCTCTTTAGTTCACTTGCACTATTTGTAGCGGCAGCCGGCTCGTGCTAGATTGGATGCTAACACTGAATTACACAAGCGAATTCCTGCAAGTGCTCCGAATTAACCCAGTTAGCTTTCACAGACTCAACAGTTGCCGTCCCAATTTCCGAATGCACCAGATGTTTGGATGCTTCGCACCGGGGGACCGGCGAGGACGAGATCAAACCGGGAAGTTGTCAATTATTTGTTGATTTTCTGAGAAAATAATCCATCTGTCAAAGAATAAAAGTTTGCTCTTGGAATACATGATGTGCCTCTGTACAAAAAAACTAAAAACTAAACCCTTGGGCAGCAATCCTGTAATATTTCAGCGAGCGAGGTCTCCTCAGGGGCCGCATGCATATGTATGTGGAGGCCTTTTTCGGTACGGCCGCCCACCAGACCGTCCGCCATCTCTGGAGAGAGGCAGCCGAGCGCCCACACACAGTCGCCGCCATCGCCGCCGTCCGTCCGTCCGTCCACACGAGAAACGAGCCCAAGTCGGCATCACACTCGCACGTACTAACAGAGGCGATGCCCCCCCAAAGTGTAACGTGCCAGGCGTGACTGTTGAAATGTCACCCGGATCACAGCGGACACGGCGGGATGGGAGGAGATTTAGGGAAATGAGATGAGGATTGCTGCTGGGGGAAAGGGGGGGCGGGGTCGATGCTCTGTAATCCACATGCATAATAATTGGCTAAACAAGTCAATGCATTCATATCATGCATGTGCATGTCTTAGTGTGAGAAACACGGCGCTCCTTTACTCCCTCCTACTAGTTCCTACCCTGCAGAAATGGACTCCTATAAGATAATAATACTGCCCTTTCCGGGGAAATTCGGCTCCGGCTTATCTCATTTTTTTCCTTTTGTCTCAGCGCTCTCCAGCAGGCAGAGTGTCTGGAGGCTCGATACCCCGTGTTTGGACTTCATTGTGTGTCTGCAAGTGGTGTGTTTTGCCCCGCTGTTCAGAGACAATGTGCTACTGTCTGTGCATGAGAGAGAGAGAGAGAGAGTCTCTCTGCAGGCTTTGTTAGGTTAATTGCTAAAAATGTAATGTTTTATTATGTTTAATATTTCAAATCGGAAAAATAATCACTCAAATAATTACCTTGCTCAACATTCAACAGAAGACGATTAAGACGTTGACGATAACAGTCTTACATAAAGACATAAATAGAACAACTCGAGAATCCTGCGGGGAAATATTTCTGAAAGTTCTACTTCAAGGCACGTCGAGGCTTCTGCGACATGCCGAAACGTAGCGGAATTACACAAGAAACCAGCGTTAGCTTAACATTAGTCTCTGATCCCTGTTATCGCGTGTGTGTGCGTGTGCGTGTGCGTGCCTGTGTGTGACACGCTGAGCGATCGCATCCTTCCACTGACAGCAGCAGTTTGTCCCACCGGCCTGTTGGACTCCGTCCTGCTGAGACCAACTAGAGACACCCTCCCTGCACAGCTGTGCAGCCGCGGTCCGACAGCACTAACACACAGCAGAGGAGCAGACCCGCTCGCACAAACAAGGGATCACGGTACAAAATAAAAGTTGTTGTCTGCCTTCCTTTACCTTCTCCGGTACCGCGTGAGTGGGGCCGCAGCTTTGAGGAAGCCACGGCAGATAGTGAATTTAGTTTAAGTCCCTGCGGAGTGGAGAGACGGAGTATTGTTCTCACGCGTCGCAAACCAACCTCTCTCGCTGTGCCGCGACGCATTTGAAGTCAGCGTTTTTAACAAATGCGCGAGTGAGGCCTCGAAGGCGCCGTCTTGGAAGGAGAGCACTTCAGTGTTGAGTGATGCACACAGATGTTCAGCGTGTGTAAAGTGCACAGAAATAAATGATCTGCTCGAGTATCGCGTTAACTTTACTTTAATGACACCGTGTTTGCGGATATTCAATAGCGACAGATGCCGAGCTCCAAACACGGAACCCTGAGAGAGCGACGCAAATGATCTTAACCAGCTTTGTTTCAACCCACAGAAATGCATTTTACACTCCTAAAGATATGCAGATGGTTTTCCAGACTGTGCTGGACTGATGCGGCGAGAAGAGGAATGGAAAAGCGAACTCTTTCTCTAAGCGCGTATGACTTTGATGAAGCAGAGAAAACAGCGAACGGGAGTTCGTTCTGATACGAGGTCAAACTAAAGGGGAACACTTGTGAACATTTGAGTTAAATTGATTTAAAGAGATCACGTTGGCCCGTATGATCTTTCCGCTGCGGTTCGATCTGATTGGGACAAGCCGTGGATTCCTCATTTTAACCTCAGCTCAGCCGCCTCAAGGTTATCGGCTCCTTTCTTACACATTTTAATTTACATTAATGTCGGTAGGAGGTTTGATCCGAATGATGTTCACCGTTGTATCTGACCACAGTGGAGCTTGCAGCTTAATTACACATCAGTTGGCAGACTCATTTGACATGTTGCAAGAAAGAAGCATTATGGGATACGTATTAGCGTTTGCTCTTTGACGCAGAGAAACAGGTAAACACGTCTTGCGTTTCCCACAGAGAACTGAACAGCCCTCCGTGGGAAGTGCACAACATGGAGTCGACGTCTGTAGAAAGCGTTGTTCTTTGACAGCGCCGGGAAAAGATGGGGGAGTCCTTTTCATAGACGGGTTGGAAAGGTGATTCATGAAGGGTGCGTGTTTTAAATAGATCTTTGCATTTCTGCTCTAAACGTTGTGTCTTCACGTTGACTGTCAAGGTTTTCTTTCATTTATTTGCAATACTTGACAGCCATTTTATCCCATTTATACCTTTAGACACTTAGTAAAGAAGGCAAAGTTGTTTTTATTGACCATGCTAACATAGGAATGATCTGCTTTTTTAAACAGATACATCACATTTTTAAATGTCTTTTCACTCAGGCCCGGGAGGACTATTGATCTCGCTGTTTCTTGGCTTAGCCCCGAGCACAGACGCTGCATGCTGTGACTCACGCCGTGTCGGCCGAAGCAATTCAACACAGTCAGCGTGGTTACATGGATTCGAATAACTGGCTTAGTCGGACTGAAATCGAGTGATCCGTTTCATGTGAACACCTTTGTCCGACTATGTGCTGTCCGACTACGATCCGACTAACACCCCTGGATAACTCCATCCGATCCAACTGATAGTTCGACTATTGCTGCATGTAACGGTGAATCGGATGAGGAACTGGACTTTGCGTCTTTGCGCGTGCTCGAGATCCCGACGGCGTCTTCTCTGTTATGAAATCAGGTAAACCATCATGTAAACACACTGACTGAGGTATAATTACAATGCCTCCATGATCAATCCAGCCGAAGTGTCTCGGAGCTCATCAGCAATAAATTCTCTCTATGATTCGACTGGAAGACTTTTAACCTTTGGTCAAAGGTCATGGTCACTGTGTGCATTTCAGAAAGGCCTTGGGGGAATTTCTTCCACTTGCAGCCCTCAGAGGGTTTAAAATCTGTACACATGCGATACCCTCGGCCACTGGGACCCTCACTCATCGGTGAAGGGAAAAGGTAAACTAGTAGAAAAAAAGAAGAAGAAACCTCAGGTAGATCGGGGGAGGGTTTCCCCTCCCAGGATGGACAGAGGTGTGTCCAGAATGAACACATACGTCAACGTTTCACAATTAAATTGAATCTGTTTTTGACCAGAGATGCCTTTCTCAGCCCGTGTAGACTTACTTCCTCAGTCGGACCTCGCTGACTTTAACAGGGTGAAAGAGTCTCTACGGTCCAGACCGACAGCAGTACTCACCGACTCCTTCATCTCAAAGGTCACATCGTCATTGACTTTCTCAATGTAATGTCGCCCTGAATTTGCAACCAAGTTCATTCTTCTAATATCCCGTGAAACAACCTTGCGGTACCACCTCATTATGGACTTATTTCAGGGGGGGTTGCAGCTCTACCTGGGGAAGGTACGCCATTTGAATGAGCTTTGCATCATTTGACCTTGCAGGCGGTGCCGGAGCTCGGCCGTATACCCGCGCCATGTTGGTCCGTGCCTCGCGAAGCCATATGGCTGTGAATGATCAAAGATCCTGTATTTGACTTTGAGATTTCTCCAGAGGAAAGCGCCGCAGCGATGGAGAGGAATTCACATTAAAAAGTCTCCAGCTGAATCTAATTGCTCCCCAGCCCGCCTCATTTCTTTAAGATGGAACTCCTGCCATGATGTGTGTGTGTGTGTGTGTGTGTGTATGTAAAAAAAGGGAATGGGGGGGAGGGAGGAAGGGGGGGGCTATGGTGTGGTGGATATTACATCCAGTAATAAATGGGAGAGGAAACAGAGGAGGACGCTGGAAAATATTCTTCGCTGATAAGAGGACTTTGTGTGCATCATCGAGAAGACAGAACCGAACCCGCTTAATGAAATTAAAGCGACGTCAGGCTTCAAACTGAAGCCTCTGATGAAAAAATGTTGAATGAATTGATTGTGGATCAAACCGGTCAGTAGATAAGATGGAGAATTTCTAATGAAAGGGAAAGCTGTTATTCATCCCACCAAGGAGCATCTCAAACATGATTCTCAATCACAACAGATACTGACAAATTGAGATAATGAATTCAATGATCCCGGCAAATGAAATGGTATCGGACCCTACTTCAAACTTTAGACAAAGTGGGATAGTTTTCTCTTCTCTTTTTTTGCACTGACACAACTGTTATTCCAAAACAAGAGAACATCTGAGGCTGAGATGATTCGGAGGAGCACAGAAGCACGTCGGCCTGCAGATGCAGGGGCGTTTGATCAGGTCTTCAAATCTAATGGCTTGCATCTGTTTCTCTTCTAATGAACAAATAGGTGTTGCAGGTAGTTTTCCACAGAAACATTTAAGCTGGAAAATGACTGTGAAGATGTATTGTCTCTCAGATATGTGACCCTTCGGTAGCTAGTACCTCCTCAAACAGCTTGAAGACCAATATCATCCCAATCAATCTCGGCGGTACTTTGAGTTGCTTTTCAACATTTTCTTTTAGATTCACCTTTTATTTTAAAAGCTAAAGCCCTTTGAATTGAATTGTTCATGAAATTTGCAACCAAAAGGCTTGAACTTTGTGTCAAATGAACAGTACCATTTGCATTTGCATTACCGAGTCTGTAATGAGGCAGAACTGCAGGTAACAAGTGCTGGCCGGATGCACACAGACAGACACACAAACACGGCGCGGATAAAAGACGACGAGGATCCGTGAGCCGAGCCTGCCAAGTGCTCTCCCGTAATTAGGTGGTGATGTAGTGGCTTTTGTTCTCTCTGATTAATTATCAGTAGCTTTCAGGATGCGAGGAAGCAGCCAATTAACTTTTTCCAGGTTCTCGTTCGGTTTCTCTCCGATGCGACACGCGAAAGGTCAGCCGAGGTTGGGTTGGGTTTGGATTGGTGGGAGGTAAAAGGTGCCGAACAGGAAAGGCGGTGTTCCGGGTCTTTGAAAGGCCACGGAGGCAATTTGCTAATCCATTTGTTGCTGTGTTTTCTTTCCCTCCCCCTCAATCTGCAGAGCGCACAAGAAACAAGCGTTATGCGCGGTGAAGAAACACATCCTGTTAAGTGAGAGCGAAGTCAGAAGTTATCTTAAAAGACGTTTTTCCGTCTTGAGCTAAATGGTTTTTTTTGGTGGCCGTCAATAAATGCTGCGGGGGGGGCAAAAAGCAATTTAATTCTTCTAATTTTGCGTCCCGTCAGAAATGATCACACTGCAGAAACCTGATCGACTGAACGGACCCTTTGGTTCCAGCTCCGGAGTTAATTAGGCAGATTTACCGGAGGAAGGTGATCGTGGCAGACCGGGAGGATCACACCGCTGTCAGGGTCAGCGGCGCCGTTATTTACCACGGAACACGCCTGCGTCTTGTGGGTGTGCGTGTGGCCGTGAAGCAAACCGGGCCGCTCATTACCTCGTCTCTCCAATCACAGGCCGGATTTACGGGCGCCGCAGGGAGGCTGTGAAAGCCCTGCAGTGAGGTGGTTCGCTGCCATGCACATCACCTTTATGACCACTCCTGTCCTATTCCCGCATCTCAAAAGGCTCGAGAGCAAACATCAAACGGCTTTAATTTAAAGTCCCCCCCCCAGCTGCAGCCGCGGCTGAATCATTTGAAGACTATTTCTGAATTCTTTTCTGCATTTTGTGCCGTTGCAGCATGACGGGAAGTCCAGTTGCGGGAGCTGCAGAGCTGAATGTGCTGTGTTGTAAATGCTGTGGTAAAAGAAGGAGCCGACACGGTGGAATCTCACCTCGATAGAGACAAACGTCCTCTGATGTGGACGACGAGGCCTGAATAAAAGCACTTTGAGCTAATAGGCCTTAATGAGCCGGTTCGATTGGCCTGTGAGTTCACACGTTCATTAATTGCAGTGTGTAAAATGACTGTGCCATATTGATGTCTTTTGCTTGGTAAATTAAATTAAAAAAATATTGTAAATGAAGAAAAATGTTTCCCACTGTGTAAAAGTGTTGAGTCTCTAGTCTCTAGATCCCAAATGTCCAAGAGACGGCGCTCCACTGAAGACATTTGCATAATAATAGTGGAAGCAACAGCACACTCCTGCGTGTACAGAAGAGTAAGCAAAAACATTGATTAATCAACTTAATATTAGATGTGCTTTTGTGTATTGTACTTTTTTTGATTATAATCAAAATATTGGGATGCATGAATACACTTTTTGAACAGTACCTATGCGTCCTTGCACATAGTGAAAGGAAGTAAAAACCATGCTACAAATATGATATTACAATCATTTGGCAGACAATTTCACCCTGAGCGATTTCCTGAAAAAAGGAAATCAAGTGGATACAACTTACAGAACATACGCTGGACTGCTTCGAATGGTACATTAGCAGATTTAATCTAACGGGCCACGGTGCAGTCTGAACAGATGTGTTTTCCTCATGTCACAACTGTGGAGAGGAGAGCTGAGATGCAAGCCGATCGACAGCTGCAGAGCTTCGTTGATGGGCCGAGGTGTTTGGTTCGATCCGGTTCTTGCATCACGTCGAAGCAGCTGAACATCAACTCCATCACCAAGAAGGCTCAGCAGAGGCTGTTCTTCCTGAGGCAGCTGAAGAAATTCAACCTGCCAAAGACGATGATGGTGCACTTCTACATCCTGTGCTCCTCCATCGCCGTCTGGTGCGCTGCAGCCACAGCCAAGGACAAGGGCAGGCTTGCAGCACGTCATCCGCTCTGCAGAGAGGCTGATCGGCTGCAATCTGCCGTCCCTGCAGGACTTGTTCGCCTCCAGGACTCTGAGGAGGGAAGGAAAGATCGTAGCCGACCCCTCTCACTCCGGACGCAGGATCTTTGAGCCCCTTCCATCGGGCAGGAGGCTGCGGCCCATCAGGACCAAGACCTCCGGAGAGCAGTCGGTCTCATGAATCGAGTCCAAGTCCCCCATTGACCCAAACAATCCATCCTGGAAACATTTTGCACAGTGTTTGTTATTTGTTTTATTTTATTCTCATATTTTGTTCTTACATTGCACCAAACTCATCTATGTGTAACATATGGGCAATAAATGGCTTCTGATTGTGATTGTAGTCGGGTGCAGAAGACCGGGGCAGTGTGGGAGAACCTTACCTGCTCATCAATTTTTACACCTTTACGGGGTAAGATGCAAAGTGAGATCCCGTGAGATCCCCTCCAGTTGTCATATAAAAAGTGGCTTCCATATTTGCTCAATGGCAAAGTCATTTTTAGACTGTGCTTTTATTCCGATCTGCTGCCGACTTGTCTCTCCCAGTTTTTTACCCCGTGAGGTAAAAATCATACATTGCTATTCAAACGGTTCCCACAAATCTCCCTCTCACTCACGCTGAATGATCGAATGATCCGCAAGAATATTCCAAAAACACCTACTCAGCATCCCACTTATCGGCCCCGCCACCTGGTAGATGTCAGAAGGCGAGAGCGAGACGGAGAGAGACGGAGGCCCCAAGTCCTCAGATTGAAAAACGGAAAAGGCGAGGAACGGACAGCGCTGATTTTTTTTCAATACCATATTACGAAAACATATCTCCTCTTTTTCATTGACGCTCCAACACACGGTTCTCTACGCTCACTTTCCTCCTCGTGGTGTTATCTCGCTCACCCTTTATTACCCACAAAGCGTTCAGCGCCGAGCCCTGCAGATGTTCTCTCTCCCGCAGGCAGCCCAGACGCTTTCTCACATTTTGGCAAACGAGCGCAATTATTATTATACTTGGTGTAATTGAATTAAGGATGAGTTTAAACTGGGCACACCTTTTGATGCTTTGTTTTGGAGTTTTTCCTTCACAATTATGGTTCTTGATGTAATTTCATGATATGCTATGTTTCTTTTTCTTTCTTGTCCACCTGCACAGATTTTTGTCCCGCTGAATGCTTTATCGTGGATTTACTGCCAGGAGCATTATGCAAAACAGAGAAGACCTTTGCCTACGAAACCCCTCCAATGGATTAAGTAGAGTTTCCTTACGAATGGAAGGGATTCACGTCTATGAAAAGCCTTCAGAGATGTCCGGATGTATGGATGTTAAAGCGTATTGCTGCGTATTGCTGTATGAGTATGACGTATTATCACTGTTATTATTATCAACCTCTTTTATACAATGCAACGTTTGACAAAAGGTGGCCCAAATAAAGCTAATGCTGAAGAGGTCCATCAGCAACACCCTGTATTATCTTCTTAGAAACAACTTAAAACTCATTTTGATGAACAAACCTCAACTGGATGAACATAGTTGGTGGTCTCGTGGTAATTTGCTTTTTGAACATGCTGTGAGTTATTTTTCAATATTGCTGACTCAGCCCTAGACGGGCTACTGCCACTAATGAGGTTGGCAAGAGAGGTCTTCTTGTTTGTTAATTTAGTCCTTTCCCTTTTTTTAATGTACAGCCTTTTGAATTTGGATGAAAAAGAGGGTATTGATTGTAGTGTGTATTATATCTACATTAGAGGGCTGATGGTGAGTGGGAGGCCACGGCAAAATTGACCATGCCTTCCACTTTACTGTAGTTTTAAAACCCCTCAGTTATGTGCCTCACTCGGCTCTTATGGTTCCATTACAGAAACAGTCTTTACTCTGTGGCATTGACTAATGGATAGCCTTTGCTTCTCTGCAGAGTGGAGGCTGCTGTGCGGCGTGCTTCAGCAGGTCTAGAAATGAAAAAGGTAAAGAATATAGAAAGGAAGACCTGTGAAATCAGATTGGATGAGCCCTGCAGACTGGGTCTGGTCCTGTGTGTTTGTTGTTTGTTGTTTGAGACCAGCGGCGAGCTGCTATTCAGCGAGTGCTGTCCTTTGATTCATCTCTGCGCCAGCACACCTGCTGAAGGCTGCGGACCCTCAGACCGCAGTGGCTCGGCTGAGTGGAAATCAAGCCGTAGCCTGTGGGTCGAGCATGGACATATGAACAGTATTGGTCCTTGTCTACTAAGAAATAGTAATCATGAGAAAGTATCTCTGTTTTGCTACAGTTGAGTTGACCTCCCGCACCATTTCCAACGGGGGAAAAAGAGACGGCCCGACAGCGGCAAATGCATTACGTTTTATTTGTACAACATTGCCCCCTGAAGTTCTTTCTGGTGTATCTCCCGAGTCCCCCTGGAGGGCCCACGTCAGAGGACAATGCTGTAGCACAACATAGTGCAGTAATTTACCACTACCTGCTCCCAGCAAATTGACCACGGAAGCACCTCACCTGTATTACTCTGTCACATTCACTTTGGGAAAGACACCGGGGGAACCATGGCTGTTCACACACACACACACACACACACACACAACTGCACGCACACACGAGCACACGGCACACAGTATTTCAAAAGCAACGTGGTTAAGCAGCTTCATTGCCGAGGGGAATCTGAACCATGCCAGAAGGTATGCGGAATGTAGAGAATGTGAGTCATGTGCTGGCCTCCTCTAACTTGGCATTTTAATGATGGGTGGATGAATGAACCGTTCTGCTTATTATACAAATAAACAAAACATCAGTGAGTCGAAGAGGCGGGGACAACCACAACGCGTTGATATAATATTGTACTGTAAACATATATTATTTTATATTGAAATATGAAGAAGTGTTTTGTGAGGCTCGTGCGTCCTCTGCTGGCAGGAAGTGGCTGTTATGTTATATGTTGACGTTTCCGTCTCCGGCAGACATATTGCTTACAGGAGCAAATTGTGGAAGGCTAGAAGAGACAGAGAGAGGATTCACATTTGATTTATATCTCCACGGCTCGATACGCTCAAACGACACAGGACGTGATGGGTAAGCTTGTCGGCATGTCGAGGGCACGTATCTGCGTTTGGGTGGTAAAAGATTGTGCCGCGTCAGCGGGAGCGATGGTTGTAAAGCATCCTGTCACTGTTGTTTAGCTAACTGGCGTTACTTAGCTAACGTCTTTAGCATTGCAGCTAGCCACAGATAACGACGTTAAGTTACCTCACTTAGTAGCGTCATTTATTCCTTTACGTTATTTAATAATTTGTAAATTTGAATCATTCTAATCATAGGGCGGGTTCGACTCACCTTTTGACTGGTTTCAGAGTGAAACACTTCCAACATAATCCTATTTCAACCCGAGCCAACCCAAGGAAACTCGGCTAATAGCTAGCCAGCTAACTACGTAGGCGCCGTAGCACTTCGTGGTGAGACACGCGTAGAGGCTTAACCAGGGAATTGAGTTATTATTATGCCTCCCGATGTTGACCTGCGTATTGGCAAAGTGGCGTGTGGCCTCCCGTGTTTGTCTTGCGTTACATTGCAGGTGTTGCTAGCGGCAACGGCACCACGCTAATGGAACGGTGGTAGAAACGTCAACGTAGCTAACGCTAGATAACGTTGTCTCGGTGTCGTGTAGCCTAGCGTCAGCTGTGTCCTCGGTGTTATTTCGCTGGCTTGGTTCGATTTTAGCTTGACGATAAACTTCCAACAACTCGTACTCCGCAATAAGTAATCGCCTTATAAGATGGACTGTTTAGCGGTCACATTTTATTAGGCGCAGTTGTGTGTGTGCGTAGCGGCTAACGTTAGCTTAAGCTAGCTGTGTTAGCTCTGTCACCCAACCCTATTCATCGATCAGTCATTAGCATTTACGTTGCACCGAATTGCGTTTCTACTCGGGAGTTGGAGCTGGTGAGAGTGACTTGGAAGGAAAACGTGTCGCATTCATGACAGCGTACAAGCGGCAGCGAGCGGCGGTTTTGACACATGCGTCGGCACACTGCAGGCTAGCGCGTAACGTCACATGTGACTCCGGGGGTCCCCGGGTTTTCCAGACTGTTCCCGAACAGCACGGTGCTTAGTTCTGCGCGTTGGTGTCATCTGTCATGCACAGACACAACTGTTTGTACGTAACGTTATGTGTTCAGAAATACGAATGAAATACTAAGAAGACAGGGACAATCAATATATGTACATGGACGTGTCAAACTCGTGTGTATTATTGAGACAAAAGTCGTGTTCAACCAATCCTCATGCTCCTTTTGTGTGTCCTTTGCTTTAGTCACCCTCAGTGTTTGTTATCTGTCACTACACCTGGCTGTTGTACCTTGGCCAGAGAGACATCATTAGTCAGTTAATTAGTCACTCACGAGGTTTTTAAAGCCATGCAAATGTTTTGGGATTTTCACATATCATGGGTTGAGATTTCTGCCACCACTCTCCAAGAGAGCGTTTCATTTCCACTGTTGTTGTTTTTGGGGTTCTGGCCCAAATTTCAGTATCAACAGGATATTTTTTTTCCCCTCAGATCTTAGTCAAAAGACAGCGTGGCTTAAGGACTTTCACTGTTCTGTTTGCGGCCAGTGCAGGCATGTCCCCTGCAGGGCCTTTTCTCTGCTTTCCAGCCTAAACAGTCATTGCAGTTTGCGTAAAGCAGCATTACATAAATCTGAGCATCCAGCAGCAGCAGCAGCAGCCAGTGCTTCCATGCGGCTTTACCATCTGGACAAACTACACACACACACACACATTTGTGAACGTTTTATGAGGCTGGTGGTGCTAATGCCCTCAAACAATATCATGCCCTGAATTTGCGCAACTTGTTCAAATATTTAACCTTGGGAACTCCCGCCGTTACAATCTGGACTTTTGACAGACAAGGTTTCCACCACCTTGTGCTGGTGACAGGTTTCCATGTTGTCCCCTCGCTCACTTTCTGTCTCCCGTTGCCCCGGGTGACTCGGGGATCTGCCCAGTGCCCAGCTGTGGTGGCATGACTGCACAAATACTGAGAACGGGACAGACAGGACAGTTTGTCCTGTCTGGGCTCCAATTAATGCAAACTCTGCGATTTGACTCTACTGAATAAATGCGTTTGTTCGGCCTGCCAGCTGACTGGTTGATGAACAGCTTAGCGGCGTGTGTCTGTGTGTGTATTTTTAGGGTTCCTATGAGCTCATTTGTACAGGGCCTTTTTATATATAGACAAGTGTTCATGCTGTGTCACCATCATGGCTTATAATTAGAGATGTCACGGGGAAACAAACGCCAACAGTCACTCGTTCGATTACACTTCCCTCCATGTGGTGTTGACTTTGGCTCAGCTGTTTCCTGCTCGTTCTTGTTGTGTCTTCATCGTGATGTCTACTTGTGTCTGCGGCCCATTAGAGCCGTCAGCCAGTCCGGCCAAAGACAACTACAGGATGAACCGCTACAAGAACAAAGCGCTGAACCCTGAGGAGATGAGACGCAGGCGGGAAGAGGAGGGCGTCCAACTCAGGAAACAGAAACGAGAACAACAGGTTTGATCCTTTTTATATGTGTCTGTGTGTATTTATTGTTGGTTTATTGAACATAGTCTGACATTTAATTTAATCACAGCTTTTCAAGAGGAGGAATGTTGATGTTCTCAATGAAGAGGAGGCCATGTTTGAGAGTCCGCTGGTGGACCCGTTTCTCAGCTCTCCGACAACAGTGAGTGTCCCGCTTTATTCCTGCCTGAAAGGGGGCGTGGCTTATCTCCACAGCTTGTCTACGTAAAGCCGTTATAATCTCCGCTATCCACCATGGAAATAAATAACTACTATTTCTGCTCTTTATTTGTTGTGTGAATTACACAAACGTCGGAACGGTGTTGTGTTTGGGTTCATGACATCATCCGTCGCCGCACACAGCTTGAATTTCACCGACTCCTCCAGGAAGCGCGTCTGGATGACTGCGGCTTCCAGCGCTGCTTCAGGCGGACCAGCATCCGGTCTGATGACCTGTTGTGCCGGCGTTTTATTTTAGCGATGTATTCGCTTCACTTTTCGCGTCCTCCGCACCGCCCGTTTAAAATCTCTGCATTGACTTTGACATGGAATCTGCTCGCGCAAATTATTCACTTTGCTATTGGTGTCGTCTGGTCTCGAGACAACAAGTGTTGTGAGTGCTTGTGAATGTGTGTTGCAGGAAGGAGTCATTACCAGAGACATGGTTGAGATGCTTTTCTCGGAGGACCCAGAGCTTCAGCTCGCCACAACACAAAAGTTCAGAAAACTACTTTCTAAAGGTAAACATATTTGACTTGCAGTCACACATGTTTCACCAGTCATGAAATCACCAAGGACCAAACGAAAGTATTCACATCCAGCGTTGCCTCATTTCAGAGCCCAACCCCCCGATTGATGAAGTCATAAACACGCTTGGAGTAGTTGAGAGGTTTGTGGAGTTCTTGAAGAAGAGCGTCAACTGCACGCTACAGGTCAGTTTGTACACACAATATGCGTGTGATGCGTACATGATGCATATAAATATCTACACAAATACACGTAGAATGTGTCACCTGGCTTGTTGGGTTGAAGACCGTAGCTTCTTCTAATCTTCTTTCTGATTACAGTTTTTATAGTAATGTAAAAGTGGTATTACTGTATAAATCAGTATCTCCCCCCGAATCTACGTTTTGCAACATTACATTTGAAGACATTATGGCAATCAAATGCAAGCTCGTGTCCAGTGTAAAATGCTTTGTCGCCGTGACGTTTTTGTGCCCGCGCAGTTCGAAGCAGCTTGGGCGCTGACCAACATCGCATCGGGCACGTCCTCGCAGACAAAGACGGTGATTGTGGCCGGAGCAGTGCCGATCTTCATCGAGCTGCTCAACTCCGACTTTGAAGACGTCCAAGAGCAGGTAACGCGGCGTGGTTGGCGTGATGTGTATTGTGTCCATCGTGACCGTTGTCTCTGTTTGGCACACTTTGCTCCATATTCTTGTGCGCGTTGCCTATTGCTCACGGCGGTTTTGGTGTGTTGGTTCTTTCTGCAGGCGGTGTGGGCCTTGGGTAATATCGCAGGGGATAGTGCCGTGTGCAGGGACTACGTGCTGAACTGCGAAATCCTTCCGCCGTTGTTAATGTAAGCCCATCTTCACACTGAATATGGCCACCGGCTTTCCAACCTGTGATACTGTCTTTGTGGTCTTATCTCATCTGGTAAGCTTTTCTTTTCTTTGCCATTTCAGGCTTTTGACGAAATCCACTAGATTGACCATGACTAGGAATGCAGTGTGGGCTTTGTCTAATCTCTGTAGAGGAAAAAACCCTCCGCCGGCTTTTGAAAAGGTACAGCTTTCTCGCTCCCTGTTTATTTTTTGGTTACCTCGGAACAAGAATGTAGCCGAGCTGCTTTTCCTGCAACTGCTGCTCGACGTATGTGTGTTTCTGGTCATAAATGTGCATTGTGTCTGCTGTGCAGGTGTCCCCCTGTCTGCCAGTGCTGTCCAGGCTTCTATTTAGCAGTGACCCAGACCTGCTGGCGGATGCCTGCTGGGCTTTGTCGTATCTCTCAGACGGCCCCAATGACAAGATCCAGGCTGTCATCGACTCCGGCGTCTGCAGGCGCCTCGTAGAGCTGCTCATGTAAGTCGAGTCACACGCTCGGCTCTCTTTTTCCCTCTAAATATGACCCGTAAATACCATTTCTCTGCTACACCCCACTGTCCTGCAGGCACACGGACTATAAGGTGGCCTCCCCTGCGTTGAGAGCTGTAGGAAACATCGTAACTGGAGACGACATCCAAACACAGGTGAGAGGGTATTCGCTGAAGTTAGTTTCTGTTGTCCTGGTACACATACGTCATTGCAGACTTCATCCTCCAAAGGGATCGTCGAGAGGGGCTTTCGCTGTCTGATTTAAATGTGACCCCCTTTTTTCTTTTTTTCTTTTCTAAACGAATGACTTGCTCCCACCCTCCCGCGTGTAGGTGGTGTTGAACTGCTCTGCTCTGCCCTGTCTGCTGCACCTCCTCAGCAGTGCTAAAGAGTCCATTCGCAAAGAGGCGTGCTGGACCATCTCAAACATCACGGCAGGAAACCGAGCTCAAATCCAGGTGATGCACGCTGACAAAGCCCAGAAGGTCCCCCACCTGATCCTTTCCTCCAGGAATAACTTGTTACTTAAATGTCAAGACTAATTACATTGTAATGAGAACACGCATGTTGGGGATTGTTTTGTTGAAATGAAATATGTCGAGGTGTCAAAGCTCTACAGTGTTTCTAATATATAATCACAGCGGGTGTAATTTGACCGTCAGTTTTGTCCACTTCTTATATTCTGTGCTCTATTCCATCATTTAATCTGAACACGAGCACAGCCTGCAATAACTCCCAGATGATTGACAGGCCTTTGATTACAATGGCAACCGCTTAACGGCTGGCTTAATGTTTAGTTTTTTTTCTTTTCATGGCAATGAAGAGCAGTCGAAGTGTTTACTCACCCATGTGACGTTTAAAACTCTTTCTGAAATCAATTCGTCACTTTTTCATAATTAAATCTCAACCAGAACTTGTTTCATTCTGCACCAGCGTCACTAATCTTGTCTTCACTTTTGAAGATAATTTAATGCTAAACACTTTGAAAGGGGACGTTTCCACGGTAACTGATGAAGCTGGAGACCTCACCCCTGATATATATATATATATATATATATATATATATATATATATATATTTCATCTCCTGCTGCTCCACAGACTGTCATCGACGCCAACATCTTCCCGGTTCTGATCGACATTCTGCAGAAAGCAGAGTTCAGGACCAGGAAAGAGGCGGCCTGGGCCATCACCAACGCCACCTCTGGAGGAACGCCAGAGCAGATCAGGTTAGGGGGACACAAGGTCAGGTTGACCCAGTCGGGGTCATCCTGATACCCAGTTGAAAGGGTTCCATGGGCCTGCATCAGGTGATGACTGTGGAAGTTGTAAATAATGAGAAGAAATATAATGTGATGCTTTACTTGTGAGAAAGAAATTTTCATTTTGCACGGTTTTAATAATTCATGGGGTAATCGGAATGTAACCGGAATTATTCATATACAATTGATTCAAATCTTTTTAATTAATAGATCAATAAATGCAAACAATCTATTTCAAATAGATTAGATATTACTCCACCATTAAAAAAAATCAGCCTTTGGCAGATCCTATGGACGATTATGACTATATTATTATAACTGTCTGATTTTAAACACTCTCGAGTAACTTCTTGAGTCACAAGAAGGCCTTTTTTTTTTTAGAAGTTGATAGTTGGAGGCTTATTCTCTGTCCGCTGTGTGTTGGAACCCAGATACCTGGTGAACCTGGGCTGCATTAAGCCGCTGTGTGACCTGCTGACGGTGATGGACTCTAAGATCGTCCAGGTGGCCCTGAACGGGCTGGAGAACATCCTGAGGCTGGGCGAGCAGGAGGCCAAGCAGGAGAACAGCGCCACCGGAGTCAACCCTTACTGCAGCCTCATCGAGGAAGCCTACGGTACGAACTCCGTCACAGCGCACTGGTGCTTTAGTCTTTAGGAAATCAACATTATAGGAAATAACATTTTTGGTACCAAAGCAATAGTTTTTTAGGGAGAAGTGATTGTCAGCTTACTATTACGACCACATAAAGTAGTGATGTTTGACCCGTCGCTGCCTCTATCCAGTTATTTCTATTACCTTTTTTAGAATAAAAAAACCGTCAATTCTTCTGAAAAAGTCCTCGTTCTAACATTACTCGTCTTTCCAGGTCTCGACAAGATCGAGTTCCTCCAGAGCCACGACAACCAGGAGATCTACCAGAAGGCCTTCGATCTGATCGAGCACTACTTCGGGGTGGAGGACGAGGAGCACAGCCTCGCCCCCCAGGTGGACCAGGCCAACCAGCAGTTCCTTTTTCCCCAGCAGGAGGCTCCCATGGAGGGCTTCCAGCTTTAAGCCCCCTCCCCCCCCCGAACACCCACCTCACCTTTAAAATGCACCACTTTGCCCCCCTCTGTACCTCCTCGTCTCACGGAGGACCCCTGGTAGCCGGAGCCTCTCAGCCCCCCCCCCCACCTCCCCCGATCGGCCACTGACTCCCAAACCTCCACACACCCGTAGGTAAAACTGTCCCGCCCTCCAGCTCTCCTCATCCAGTGGGCCGACTCCTCGCGGGGGGAGGGAGGGGGGGGACCCACGTGTTACCGGTCGAGGGGGGAGCTGCATTACACTTTCCTTGAAGAGGTCGTGATGGCCACATGAAGTCGGCTCTGGCTTCAAGAACGCTCACACACACACACACACACACGCATATCGTCCTGCCGACGGTTGGGTTGGTTGATATCTTTATATAGACTCTTTTGGGTTGTTTCCCAGGGGGACCTTTGCTTTTTTTCCGGGTTGCCCGTGCAAAGTCCCACGAGTGCGAGGTGAAGGCGAGCGCTTGATGTCAGTGTGACCGGGTGGCAGGAAAAACACACAGTAAAGATCCCTTGTCGTTTATGATCACTTATTTATATGCGTGTGATTTTCTTTTTTTCTTTGGTTTGCTGAATCACGAGGCTCGGCTAAAAAGTGTCTTTTTCCACTGTTAACATGTCTTCTGTTCTTTTGGGACACATTTCAGGGGAGGAGACTGGAGACTGGGTGTCGGATGGGGTTTTGAAGGGATAGTGGAAAATAGATGGGGTTTATAGAGGATATGTTTAAAGATCTAGGAACATCAATTATTTTCGAGGGTGGTGTAGTTATAGATCCAATGTTCGTTGTGTGCGGTGTTATTAATAACAATACATTTGAATTCTGGAATGATCTAACTATTAAACGAGGCATAGCTGGGGCTTCAGGGCGACGGGGGGGTACCAGCCGCACCAAACCCAACTTCCTTTTATATTTAAACAAACTGGATGTATTGCAGATGTTTAAAATGGGGGGGAACTGACGCTTGTGGTGCAGACTCAACTTTTAATGTCTGATTCCATTGATGCCCGGTGAAAACAGGTGGCTGCTGGTTCTGCGAGGCCCTCGTGCCCCCGCCTCCCCGGCCGTGAGTGTGTGTGTGGGGGGGTTCTGCATGGCGTTATATTACCCTGCGTACAGTCACTGAGGGTCCCGGTCAAACGCTGCCCACCCTTTTTCTTTTACCGTGGCAGCATTTGCAGGTAAAGAAACAGGAAGTGGGCCACGGCGCCGGTTTGGTGGCGGTGTTGCCGTGCAGTGGCAGATTTGACCCACGGCGTTCTGGGCGGCGGGCTTGATGACTGTTGATGACTCCGCCCGGGTCCGTTGTGTAAATAGCTTCTCCTCGAGGCTCACGGCGAGCCGGGTCTGTCCGGGGGAACCGCTCAGACCACCAATTCAAGTATAAACATACATTTGAGTTTTGTATTTGCATTGTATTTGCGCACACTTCATGCACACTTGCATACAACACCAGCAGACACCTTACACACACACACACACACACACCTCCTCACAGATGAGTGGCTAGACGCAAGAAAAATCAGTTTCCATGGTCCTTTTTGGAAAAAAAGTTGTTATTTTTATTTTTAAATTGGCTTTTCTCCGGAGAAAATTGCCGTTTTTGGCTGTTATTTCATTTCAGACCACTTACTATGGTTTTTGTTTTATTTAAAAAGAAATGTTGCCGGTGATTCAATTTTTATTTAAGACTTTTTGTTTTAATAGAAACAAAGAAGTTTTTTTTTTTTTTGCATATTTAAATGTTTCACTGCACAAAGACGTCTCATGGAAACTTTTTTTTTCGTCCTTGTTTCTAGCCACATGACTTACGATGGTTTAAATGATCCCTGTGAGCCCTCGGCTCAGAAGCTGATCCGGGATCAGGCTTCCGGCCTTGTGGGCGGAGCAGAACTGTGGTTGTGTGATGTTTTGACTGACGGCACCGTGAGGACGAGCTCGATCGACCCCGACGACCTCTGGGAGCTCCTGTTGTGTGGATCACAGAACCCGCCTTAACATTGAATCATGATACTGTGACCAGAACTCTGGTGGATTCCACCGCATCTAAGAAGAGACACTTTACCGTGACGCCCCTTTTAGATTCATTTGGTTTCTTTCAGTATTACATTTTTACACAAGCCATAAACTTCCACCAACTGCTGTTGGGTTCAAGTTTGCTTTGCTAGCGAGATGTTATCCACAGAACACGTGTGCTCCCAGTGGACACGAGAGTTGAAATCATGAATAATTGAGCATCAAGAACTTGCCTCTACAGGACTGACGTGTAGAGCGGCATTTGTAACGGAAGTCTTCGATTTCACTCTGAGCTCGGCCGACAAATAACGCCAGAATTGCAACGTTTGAAAACGGAGAAGAAGAAAAAAAAAAAAAAGAAAATAGTGCATCGACCAGGAAAAACAAATATTTATATTTCTTGAAAATGAAAATGCACTCCTATTCACAAAAGTGCCAATCCGACCAACAGAGACTGGAGGTTCTTATGTCTTTGACTTTTGTTTTTCTTTATCTTTTATTTACTTGAATGTGCACACATTTTGTGCAGAACATTGCTGCTCTATTTTCCTTCTCTTTAAAGTTACGTTATTTGCCATTGATTCTTTGGGGGGGGAGGGAGAGTGGCCCCAGCGAAGCCGTGGTCACATGACGCGGGCCCCTCCGGCCGCCTGTCGTCCGTCGGTGTGACGATCCCCGGCGCCGCGGCCTTGAGTGATTTCACGCGGTGGAAACGGCCGAGTTTAATATTTGGCGTTTCTCACGGCTCAAAGCCGGCGCCTCCGTGTGCTGACGGAAAACTATGAGAGATTTTAGATGTGGCAAATTGTGTAAATTTAAGCTACTATCATAGCGGACGATTGCAGGTACTCACCGTGTTGTCGTCGTTTACCAAAGTTGCGTCATCCTGAAGGCTGGTGGGAATAATTTACTTGATGTCTTCAATACTCACTGAGAATCTGCTTCTTTTTATTAGAAGCTGCAATAGCTCAGTCCTCACTCTCCTCAGCTCCTTTTTTTTGGCTTTTCCTCAAGTTTAAGTACTGTTTTAGGGAGTGAAAAGATCTGCAAAATTATCCAGACGGCTGCAATAAACCTATTGTCCAAAATCAGGCGCCGTAGAGGCAACAACTCCCCTGCAGGTGGCGCTCCGCCGCTGGGTGAGGCCGACTGAGGCCACTGGACAAACTCTGTCATTCAGAAATTGTGCAGTGATTTACATTAAAAAGTATTATTAAAGTTAAACTATATGTATATTCTGATACATTGACGGGGGATTTAGATTCTAATCACTTCTGAGAAGTGGAGAAAAGGCCTCATTGCAGCACAAGACGAGAGAGAAAACAGGATCAGGTTTTTCTGGGTTATATTTTTGGATAATGTGTTTAGCATCAAACGTTCGTCCCAGTCAGGCTGCACGATCAGGAACCTCGTTATCCACGGGGGGGGGGAAATGAGCAGACATCACTAAATATCTCAAATCTGACTTGTCTTCCGTCCTAGAAGCTGTTCACGTCTTTATCAGAATCTAAAGCCACGCTTGGCTTGGTCAGGTGATGTCCTCTATGCTACAGATGTTTACAATGCTACATGTTTGTAAAAATACTTTTTCATACGCCACCACTGACCAGTCCCGATGTTTTCTCTGCTCTGGTCCTTCTCATTTCTTTTACATGTATTTATTTTCTCTACTCTTGTTTATGATTATTTTTTTTCCCCCATTTGCTCAATTACCCATCTTAAACTGTGACTTGACTTGACTTTACCGACGGTATGAATGAGTGACGAGAAACTTCTACACAACTTCAACTAAACATGTCACACAAACATGAAGATGGAAAAAATGCATACAGGAAATAGCAACAATATAAAATGTTAAAGTGTAAAGGAAATTACATTGAATTTGAAATTGTTCAGTGAAAATACTGTACAAAACAAATAAAGTTACGTTACAACCCTTTAATGTGAATGTTTTGTCTTTGTTCACGGCTGTCAATGAGAATGAATTCAGCAGCACACTAGCAAAGTTGTGTTGTATGTCCAAGTGCAAACTTACTTTTGTAGAAGTGGAAAGAAACCTGTAGAATTTAGCTACAGTACCGGGGATGTGAGCCCTAATATGAAATAATTATTACATTTCAGATAGTAGGCTCCATGTCTTCATTTGAAGCTCAAATAGAAACATGCAACCTGGTTAGTATTTTCTTTATTTTTCCATTGGAGAAGAATACTACGTTTCCAAAACCCGCCAAGTCAAATTCCAATGGACAATGGACGACAAGACAACACTGCACAAGGAATAAAATAAAATTGAATGCTATGGGTTTAAAAACATTTTTACATGTATTTATTTTCTCTACTCTTGTTTATGATTATTTTTTTTACCCCCATATTTAAAAAATAAAAATAAAGGAATAAAGCTAAAAGTTAAAAAAAATAAAGTGTTTATATGTATTATTATTTGATCATTTGTATTTATAGACAATGAGGTGGTTCCCCATTATTATAAAAAAATATAAAATTTCGATTAAATTATTTGTATGCATATATATTATGTAAACAAAGCTTAGATTTATAGGAATCAACATATATATATATTATTAATAACCAGTAAAGATAATTTCATGTATTTCTCTGTAGGTGGCAGCAAAGCACAACGTAGTGACGTAAACCGCCAAACTACCAGGAAACAGAAGAAGAATCCAAAGTTATCACCGGAAGTGGGGGTTTTTTTTGGCTCACGCTGTTGTGGAAACCCGCAGTTCGCAGTCAAACACTAACGTTAGCTATTTCCTCCTTGAGTCTGAAGGTAAATGACTCCTTAATATCAGAGAACTCGGGATTCACGGACTAGCACCCGTGTAGTCCGTGTGTGTTAGAAGTTATACATAAACCAGCACTGTGCAAGCTAGTTTAGCCGCATCTGGAGGCTAACGAGCGTTAGCAGGTGCTAGCTAACAAGACGTGAATGCTAACGTTAGAGAGCGAGTGTTAAAGCGAAAGCTAGCGAGGACATGCACTGTTGACAGGACATTTGTGTTACAATTTGTCATGACGTATGTTCGTTAACATGACAAACTATACTCCGTATCATGAACATGTGTAACGTAAAACACAAGTTAATGAAGATGACCGCCTAATGTTAGTAAACCTGGTGGTTAAAGGTTTCTAAACACGATCTAACGTTAGCTACGTCACACGCGATTAGTCTTATTTTGTGGCTTTAAGTTAGGCCTAAGTTGAGCTGTGACCAACACTTACAAAGCAGCTATTACATGTTAATACGTAGAAACAGATCCGTAGACAGATTTAAAGCTCAGTTTGGTGAGTCATTTATTTTCACCTTTTCCTTGCAGGTGGTCCAGTATTAAAAAAAGACCTTCATAGTGTCACTGAGTTATATGTATGAGTGAAAAGTACTTTAATTTGCACCGTGTGTCATTACCAGAGAGTCAGGTATCATCTTTTTTTCCTTCTTCTATTTGTAACCGATACCAGAGATGAAAAAACACGACACAGAAGTGTCCGCCACCCAGAGCAGTGAGGACGCCATCCAGAGCAGTGAGGACGCCATCCAGAGCAGTGAGGACGCCACCCAGAGCAGTGAGGACGCCACCCAGAGCAGTGAGGACGCCACCCAGAGCAGTGAGGACGCCCCTTCAGCCGAAGTGATGGAGTCACTCGCAGCTGCAAAAGAAAGCTCGGAGAGCACCAGCCTCGAAGACTCCGAACCCCCGCCGCCGCCGCAGACAGACACGCCGCCGCAGACAGACACGCCGCCGCTGACAGACACGCCGCCGCAGACAGACACGCCGCCGCAGACAGACACGCCGCCGCAGACAGACACGCAGCCACAGACAGACACGCAGCCACAGACAGACACGCAGCCACAGACAGACACCCCGACGCCGCCGCTCACAGACACCCCGACGCGCACAGACACTCCGACGCAGACGGGGACGCCGACGCTCACAGACACGCCTCCACAAGGCGACGAGGCAGGAAGTGAAGGTAAAGCTGGAGTTTCTTTGTGACGTGAGAACTGGTTGTAGCTCCGTCAGTGTTGTCACTGTTTTTGTAATAGATCACAATCTAATAACGGCGTGGATTGATACAATGCAGTATTGCATATTAAAATGGGCCTACACCGAATCCTGCTTAAAACTGCCCCTTTTATGTGTTTCTCACCTATATTTTACCTGTCTAGAACACTTCTTATTGGGAAACATTTAAGTCTGTTGATAATTAATCGATTGACTTGGTTTAACTTCCTCCTCCTACGTTTGGACTACGACTTTAAAGTTTATTCCAAATGGCCCTTTTCTGAAACATGTTTGTGTGTAATTTCATACTGTGTTTTTTTTGGGCCGGTGATTAGTGGCTCCTCTGGTTGTTAGTGTGAATGATGATAACCGCATGTGGTGCATAATCGGTGACATGGAAACAGTTTCTAACCAAATGCCCCCCCTCCCCCTCCTGGCCTAGTTGCAGAGGCAGCTCTTTCCCAATGTGAATTGGCCGAGGAGCTTAGCCGGCAGCTGGAGGACATCCTCAGCACGTACTGTCGGCGAACCCGCTCGGACGACGCCAGCCCCGTCCCCAACGGCCAGTCGCACAGCCCCGAGCTCAACGGCCTCAGCAGCGAGAGGGGGGGCGGCAAGACGCAAGGCAAAGCACACGGAGGTGGCAGCGGGGGGCAGAAGAAGACTCACGATAAGAAGAAAGTGAAGGGTCTGGGTGAGGAGTATTGCTCATCCGTATGGATCGGTGGTCTAGTCAGAGTGTGTAGTAGATTTTGCGTAATGAAGAATCAAAGAGATGCCTTGAAAACCGCCTAGAGGCCAGTTTGCTAAATTCAATATTCACTGGTTCTCTCTGTCTCTGTTGTGCTCGTTTATGCAGGCAAAGAGATTACTCTTCTCATGCAGACGCTGAACACACTGAGCACTCCAGAGGAAAAGCTTGGAGGCCTTTGTAAGAAGTATGCCGAACTGGTGAGTGTTCTTTTTATCCAAACGTGTAGCCCGAAGCACCACTCTTGATCTCTAAAACATTTCTAGAGTGGATGTAAAATGAAACGCTCTCTTTCCCTTCTGCTCTGAAGGTGATGTTTTTATTAGTGCTTACATTTTAGTCCGTACAAGTTTTTGAATTCAGAATGAATAGTTGGCAAATTATCTGTGGATATACAGTTCACAGGAATGTCCACACTTGGTGAATAAATAGTAACTGAAAAGAACAGTTACAGTCCCTCTGTAAAGGAGTCTTAAAGGAAAATAGATTTCATGCTGCAAATCGCTTTAAAGACTCATTTAATTGCTTTTCCTGCTCAGTAGTCTGTGTAGAAATGACCGGAAAATCAAAATGAAACATTGAGCACCTTGAAAGCATCGAGCATACAATATCAATATAATACATTTTGGTGTGTGTGTGTGTGTGTGTGTGTGTGGCAGCTGGAGGAGCACCGTAACACCCAGAAGCAGATGCGAGTGCTGCAGAAGAAGCAGGACCAGGTGGTCCAGGAGAAAGACAACCTGAGGAACGAGCACAGCAAGGCCGTGCTGGCTCGCAGCAAGCTGGAGAGTCTGTGCCGGGAGCTGCAGAGACACAACCGCACACTGAAGGTAAGAAGTGAACCGAGCCGAACCGCCGCATCGACCCAACTCAATGACCGCCTGCAACTATGGCCTGTCTACGGTCATTCACAAGTGAGCAGCGCTGTCCTTTTCACACTCGTTTTATTGTTCCAACGTCGCTCCACCCGCAGGAGGAGGGAATGCAAAGAACGCGTCTGGAGGAGGAGAAAAGGAAGGAGGTGACCTCCCACTTCCAGGTGACGCTGAACGACATCCAGGCTCAGATGGAGCAGCACAACGAGAGGAACGCCAGCCTGCGGCAGGAGAACTCCGAGCTGGCCGAGAAACTGAAGAAGCTGTATGAACAGTACAAACTACGGGAGGAGGTCTGTGCCTCCTTCACTGCGAGTCCCAATAATGTGCGTTTCACCACGCTCTTTTGCCGGCTGTGTGACGGGCGTTTTGATATCCCCCCCACAGCACATCGACAAGGTGGTGAAGCACAAAGACCTGCAGCAGCAGCTGGTGGACGCCAAGCTGCAGCAGGCGCAGGAGCTGCTGAAGGAGTCCGAGGAACGCCACGACAGAGAGAAGCACTTTGTAAGCCTCCTCTCTCAATCCAGAACAAGCACTGGCGTTCCCTTCTGGTTTTCTTTCAATGGGGAGTTGTCACTACGGTTTGACCTTTGCCCTCGCCTCCCCCAGTTGCTGAAAGAAGCAGTGGAGTCTCAGAGGATGTGTGAGCTGATGAAGCAGCAGGAGGTCCACCTCAAACAGCAGGTCCCTGATACGGCTTCACATTCCTGACAGTTGGACTGTGATTGAAAATGTTTGCACTGAACTTGTTGTTGTTGTTTGTTTGCAGCTCTCACTGTACACAGAGAAGTTTGAGGAGTTCCAGACCACCCTGTCGAAGAGCAACGAGGTCTTCACCACGTTCAAACAGGAGATGGAGAAGGTGAGGCGTCCGCGTGTGACGGGCTGGTGATCCGTGCGGGCGAGTGACGGAGGAAGGGAGCTGCCTCTCTGTGACCGTCTGGTTTCCCTTCCAGATGACTAAAAAGATCAAGAAGCTGGAGAAGGAGACGGCCATGTACCGGTCCAGGTGGGAGAGCAGCAACAAGGCTCTGCTGGAGATGTCAGAAGAGGTAAAGCACATTTTGGGGGAGATTTCTGATCCACCGTGTGTTCGATTGATATACGCTGCATGTTATTATAATGATAGTGGCCACTCGGGAACAGTGTGAGGGAAAGTCTGTAGCGATGAATACGTCGTATGATTGACGGCCCAGCGGCTGACGCGCGTCTCCCTCGTGTGCAGAAGTCCGTGCGGGACCACGACTTCGAGGCGCTGCAGGGGAAGGTCCAGCGGCTGGAGAAGCTGCGACGGGCCCTGAAGGTCGAACGCAACGAGCTCAACAAGAAGGTGCAGAACCTCAGCGGGCAGGACGCCGTCCCGGCGGGGGGCCCCGACTCCCCCTCCCCGCCGCCCACGGACCCTCACCCCGACCCCGACTCCGCCCCCTGCTCCAAGTCCTGCCACTGTGACCCACAACTGGACACCGACGGCGTGCTAGAGGAGGCGAGGGCGCCGCTCGTCAGATAGAGAGGTTAACCGGTGTCCTCCCAGCATGCACTGCAGGCGCCAAAACAGGTGATGGGAAGATCGAGGCCCGCCTGTCGGTACATTCACATGCACACCAGACACCGTCACGCTGCCTCACACATCAAGCAGGCGAAGCGTGAGTGAGTGAGTGAGGGAGTGTGTGTGTGTACGTGTGTGTACGTGTGCGTGCGTGCGTGTGTGTGTGTGTGTGTGTGTGTGTGTGTGTGTATTGAAAGCCACTCCTAGTAAAGGTTTTTCAGGTGAAGTCTTAACGGGATGTGAAGACCGATTCTTAGTCACATAGAAATATTATAGAATGCTACAAAAGTTGTTTGTCGCACTGAAAGATTCCTCCTCTGGTTTCAGCGTTTTCATCTTCTTTCTTGTGGACCATTTTAGGGAAATGGTTCTTTTTTTTTCTTCTTGTTAGCGTCTCGCTGCTTCTTTTGAGCAGTTTTCCTGTTCTGTATTTATTGTTTGAATTATAATCTCTGATATTGAAATATATGTATCGTACGGAGCACCACTATAAGATCATTCCCTATTTTACACATTTAAAAGGACGTTTGTTTTTATGACTTTTCATTCCTAACCTCCCTGAGTTCAGATGTTGTTTGCTACGTTATATTTGACATGTTTTTGAGTCTGCTTAAAACCTTCTAATGACGACCACTTGAAACTCGTTGTGTGCGTGTGTGTGATTGTGTGTGTGTGTGTGTGGGGTTCACACAGCTACGGTTGTCTCCCCCTCTTTGCAGTAGCTTGTAATCAGGTTTTAACGAGAGAATATTCAACGACTTCTATGCAACGCTTGCTTCTTGTTTTGTTTTGTGTGGCGGTCTCAACTGACGAGCACTTGGGGAGACAACGAATAAACATTCTCAGCCATCGTGCATGGACGCATTGTGTAAACCGACCACATGTCTGGCAGCAGAACTTAATTTTTGCTTCGCTGTGAACCTTATTACTTTCCTCTGGATAATTGTCTGACGTCGAGTCTAAGGTGCATCTTTCTGGTTCTCTTACAAGGTGCAGCGACGGATATAAACTGAATGCAGGGAGTTTGACTCCCTTCAGTCCTTCTTATGTACAACTTAATATGTAGCATTGGCAGACAATATTTCTTCCGTTGTCCCACAGGACAGAATCATTGTTCCTCTGGTCCCGTGGGCAGATGTCAAGGCTCGTTGAGAAGGAACCAAAGATGTCTCCTCTTTTGTCTTTTGCAGTACTTTTATCTGGCCCTGTATTTTTTTGTTTCCTGTTAAATAAAAGTTGTAAAATATGTAGCCGTTTGTGTTTATTTAGAAAGGATTCAATAATTAGACCACACAACTGTATGGATTTGAAATGTAGTTTTCACTGTTAAATGCACACGTGATGCGATGATGCACACATCTGGCGAGGGACGAGGAACAGCCTCCACGAACAACCATTCACACACCTACAGGCAAATTAGAGTCACCAATCCCCCAAAGAATGTCTTTACACGCAGAGAACATACAAACTCCACACACAAAGGTGTGTATTACAGTAACACCGCTAGATGGCGCTCTAACTCGATTCCGCCTTTCTTCCCCGGAAATACGTCATCTTCCTTTTCCGCCGCTGCTCCGGCGACCTGAAACACGAGTGCCGATCTTTTCTCTTGTTTTTTTTTTTAACCGGAGTCTGTGTGAACACGCTGGATCGACTGGTTACGTTTAGCTCATCAAAATGGTTCGTAGGCGTATTTGTAAATATCTACCGTACGCCGTGGTACCCGGGACAACGCGCGTGCTCGTGCTGCGGTAGTTAGCTCCGGTCAAGCTAGCATATGTCGCCCGGCTAACGTTAGGCGAGGAATTAGCCGACGTTAACGTGAATGCTAGCTAGCGTAGCCGTTAGCGAACCGATGCGAGATGATTCACCTGCCACCGATAATGAAACCCAACATTACTTGTCTGAGCTGTTGTTCTCCTGACGTTTCTTCTCCAGAGACCCATCCTGCTTCAGGGCCACGAGAGGTCCATCACCCAAATCAAGTACAACCGAGAGGGGGACCTGCTCTTCTCTGTCGCCAAAGACACGGTGAGACGATGACGGCGACGTGCTCCGGCGTCACGGTGCGATCCCGCCGTCCCGTTTGGTGTTAAACTCGTCCGTTGTCGTGTCTGTAGGTGACCAACGTGTGGTACTCCGTCAACGGGGAGAGGCTCGGCACCTACAATGGACACACGGGGGCCGTGTGGTGTGTGGACTGCGACTGTATCCCTTTTCAACAAAGACACCCGTTTGTGTTCTATTCAAAGCAAATGCACACACGCGGATGCTGGTGTTGTTGTGATACATGTCGGGTTCCTTAACGTGCACTTTCTCAGGGGACACTAAAAACGTATTGACGGGGTCTGCAGACAACAGCTGTCGACTGTGGGACTGTCAGACTGGTACGTGCAGACAGGCTGCAAAGAACAACGTGTGTGTGTGTGTGTTCTTGCTTTTGCACGCATGCGGTCCCGGTCGTTTCATCCCTTGGTGCACCGACGTTTTCCCGTCATATTTCCCCTCCAAGCAGGGACGTTGACCCCTGTCAGGTCGGTTCCTGGTGCACGGGGACCAGTGTGCTCCACTAACCTGTGTGTCTCGGTGCCGCCACGCAGGTAAACAGCTGGCTCTGCTCGACACCAACTCTGCTGTCAGAACGTGCGGCTTCGACTTCAGCGGCAACATCATCATGTTCTCCACAGACAAGCAGATGGGTTACCAGTGCTTCCTGAACTTCTTTGACCTGAGGGATCCACAGCAGATCGGTAAGCACCTCACACTGTCACACTGGGGGTCTGTGATCATATTGGCAGCATAGTAATTGATCCATGATTGACCCATCAGCAGAGATATGTGTTCTCTGCGAGCTCCAATGAGAGATTTTTCCCCCCTTTGTGTCTCTGCAGAAGACAACCAGCCCTACCTGTCGATTCCATGCAGCGACCACAAGATAACCAGCGCCGTGTGGGGGCCTCTGGGGGAGTACGTCATCGCCGGCCACGAGAACGGAGAGTTCAACCAGTTCAGCGCTAAGGTTGGTAAAGCACGTAATGAATGGTGTTGAGGTCAGAGCGAGGAGCAGTGCACGGTCGCAGGAGCGGTTTAAAGTCTTTACATGTGATAGTACGGCTAAAGAAACCTGTTATATTCCATAGTCTCTAAAGTTAAATGTTGTGAATTTGTTATTTGTTTCGCAGTCTGGAGAGATCGTGAAGAAGGCCAAGGAGCACACCAAGCAGATCAATGACATCCAGTCATCAGTGGATCTCACCATGATCATCAGCGCCTCCAAGGACAACACTGCCAAGGTACGACCGGCCGCGAGTGCACGGGACACCCAATTCACCATATGAAAAACGACTAATTATTTGGGAACCCATTTGCATCTTAACTCGCCGGTTGCTGGACATCACACTTTGTTATTGAGCGTCTGGCGTCTCCTGTGTCTCCTCTCAGCTGTTTGACTCCGCCTCTCTGGAACACATCAAGACCTTCAAGACGGAGAGACCCGTCAACTCTGCCGCCATCTCCCCCAACATGGATCACGTAAGTGGCGACTCCACGGGGAGGACGGGGGGCGTCACCGTGCAAACGTTAAATGAAAGCTTCCTCTGGTCACTGGTGTTCAGGTGGTGATGGGAGGTGGACAGGAGGCCATGGAGGTCACCACTACCTCCACCAGGATCGGCAAGTTTGAGGCCAGGTGAGTCATAGAACATTCTCTTCCACGTGAACGGGCCCGATGGTAAAAAAGCCAACGGCACCTTATCTTGGTCCCGTGATGCTCTGACCGAGCCGCTCACCCCGCCCTCAGGTTCTTCCATGCGGGCCTACGAAGAGGAGTTCGGCAGGGTCAAGGGTCATTTCGGCCCCATCAACTGCGTGGCATTCCACCCTGATGGCAAGAGATAAGACCCCAGGCGTGTGCGTGTGTGCGTGCGCGTGTGTGTGTGTGTACGTACTGACCTTTCCCTTGTGCTCGTTGTTCACAGCTACAGCAGCGGAGGAGAGGACGGATACACGAGGATTCATTACTTTGACCCACAGTACTTTGACTTTGAACTGGAGGCGTAAATGGTCGGCGCCTTCGACCCAGTCAGACCGCCGCCCCCCCCCCGCCTCGTTCCCTACATCTGAACTGATGTGTAATCAGCGTATTTCTCACCAGTTGCTTCTAATAAAGGTAGAGGGGGTCTGGACGGCATCTCAGAGACCATAGTTTCTGCTGTTTTTTTTTTCTAACATCTCTGAAAGTCTCGGTGGCATCAGAAGCAACTTTTGAACCCCGGATCTGTGGATCGATACTGACTGGACCTCAAAACACACACACACACACTCCCAAGTGTTACAATTAACTTTGAGTCAATACTTTGTTTTGACATTCCACACAATAAAATTACTCAATTCAAGTCGTGACTGTGATCTATGAAACCTAAGAACCACCTGGCAGCTCCAGTCAAGATGTTAACATAGAAATTGTAGCTTGTAAATGGTGAATTTCTCGGAAAAATGTTAGTTTAAAGTATATTAAAGGGGTAATATGTAATCAAGGTTAAGTCAGTTTAGTAGATTTTAGTAAAATTTGTTGGATGACACTTGAAGGGGAAATACAATAAACTACACGCAATTGAGGAGACTTCCCTCAGTGGATGCAAAGATTTGAGTGCAGTACTGAAATCACTTTTAGAAATTATAGATATAAAAGCATTACTGTGTGATGGTGAGTTAGTGACTCAAATGCATTGTTTGGTCTTTATCGTATCAAAAACTGAGTATGACATTAATGTGGCAGATGTTTATTTTGTTAAACCATAAGTCAGAATGGTACATAAAAAAAACCCCACTACAGGTCAAAGGTCATATTGGCTGCATCCTGATGGCTAAAGAAACCAACACATGGACCACGAATGTAGAGAAGCTTCTTCACTTTGGATCCAGAAATTAAACCAAAATAGAAACGCAGGATTATTTGTCGAAAGTATAAAAAAAAAATCAGGAGGAAAAACAATGACTTCAGCTTTTATTAAAAAGTTATGAATGCACATTTTACAAGGATAAAACTAGACAACATGTAGAGGGTCCATTTAACCAGCTCACTCTGCCTTTATGTATCATGGTACAAAACAAGTCGCTCACTTCCACCTCTGGAGCGGTTCAACATTCCACATACTGAACGATGCAGGAAGAAGCTAAAGGGGCCGGTGATGAATCAATAAGTTAGAACATAGATCACAGCCTGTCCGCCCAACACGAGCAAAATGTACATGCTAAAGGCGACATTATTCTAAACATGCATTTATTGATGAGTTGACGACAACAAGATAAACAGTTTGTCAAATGCTGGTTATTCTACAGTATCATAAATAGATGTTTAAAAGAGAAAAGCCTTTTTGCACACGAGCGTGATGCTTATTAATCATCTACTTCGCTGCAGGCCCCCGCAAACTGGCTTAAATGGGTAACAGCGTGACGGGAGCTTTCCTTCACGTGGAAGCCGACCAGTTCGTATAAAAAGCCTACGGAGTTGTGCGTTGCTCGTTTTGCACAACGCGAAGCTGTGGCTTGGCCACGCCCACTCAACCGGCGGGTCACCGAGGTCGGTGACGGATGTAAAGAACGCAGTGTAAACCGGGCTCGCCCATAAACACACATAATAAAACAGGAATACAAAAAAAGGCTCTTGTTGTCACAGAAGGAGAGCACAGGAATCCCAACGCATCGACGACGCCTCCTCCTGGTGTCGCACTTCAGGTCGTCTTCACCTCCTCTTTTGGTCTGGAACAAACAAGAGTTGATGCAGCAAACCGCCGGCACACTGAGGGTTTCATAGGACCCCCCACTGAGGGGGGCGCATGTGATCTGTACAGCGAAATAATAGACGAGTACACAGATCTCTTACCCTGATGTGTCCATCTTCTCTTCCTCTTTCTCCTCCTCTTTCACTTCTAAGTGTCGGAACAATCAGATGATCAGCACGTTGCCTTTACACATTTGTGATTACATTCGTCGAGCAACTGGATCCGTCTCACCTTTCTTCTCCTCCCCTTCCTTCTCCTCCTCCTTCTTCACTCGTTTCACCTTCTTGTGGTTGGCTGCGTTCCTGCGGCCGCCCCCCTGCCCCTCCGCCTCGTCCTCCGAGTCAGAGAACTCTTCCTCGCAGGCGATCCTTTTGTCGTGTGCCCGGACTGAAAACCGCACAGAGGCGCACAATTTCATACGCAGACTACGACTCGACCGGGTCCTTTAACTCAAGGCCCGGGAACCCGTCTACGTACTGGACCGCGGCCACTCACTGGAGACGCGCTTGTCGGGCTCCTCCTCGTCCTCCTCGCCGCTGTCCGGGTGGGGGGCGTCCTCGGGGATGGCCTGCATCTGGACGCCCGGCGCGTGCGGCAGCATGCGGAGGTTCTCGAACAGGCGCTGCTTGATCTTCTCCAGGTACTCGTTAGTGTTCTGGTTGGTCATGTTGGACGGGCTGATGTGCAGCTTGAAGTCGGGCCCGAAGTACTCGAAGTAGTCGTTGTAGGGCAGCTCGTTGGGGATGGACGAGTCCAGGGCCACCGCCGTCTCGTACGTCCAGCAACGGGCCACGTTGCGGATGGTGTAGCCCCCGCCGCCCAGCATCAGCAGGGGCAGGTTGAAGCTTTTGATGTACTCCACACATTTGGCGTGGCCTGGTGGGAGGACACGCGCTCATTGAGCTCTGCAGCACTAAGGCACTTGTACATGGGGTCTCGGGGGGGTGGGGGGCTGTGTTCATACCTTTGATGGTGAGGTTGAAGCAGCCCAGTCGGTCTCCAGAGAGAGAATCGGCTCCACACTGGAGGACCACCGCGCTGGGCTGGTACATCTCCATGACTTTAGCCATGATCTAACACACGCAGACATACACATCAGCCGCCTGGGAGGGAAAATGGGGATTGTGGCGACTAGATCGAACACAAACGAGAGCCTTACGGGTTTGAAGATGGCTTCGTAGGACTCGTCGTCGATGCCGTCCCTCAGCGGGTAGTTCACCGCGTAGTATTTGCCCTTTCCGGCGCCGATGTCCTGCAGACAGCGCAGACAATCGATTACAGCACACGCACAGAAGTCACACAGGGGGGTCTTAGAAGTAAAATAAGGACAAACAAACGGACCCTCAGGTCTCCGGTGCCGGGGAAGTACTCCCCGTACTTGTGGAAGGAGACGGTCATGACCCTGTCCGTCGTGTAGAAGGCCTCCTCCACGCCATCCCCGTGGTGGATGTCAATGTCGATGTACAACACCCTCTGGTGGTACCTGGGGAGGAGAGCGCGCCCGGTTAACAACACGAGAGGAAGACGTCCTCTCGTAGCCATTAAGATCGACAAACTTCACCCTCAACTTTCTACCAGGCCGCCGTGTGCAGATGAGACAAAGGACGACAGCAGCTTACTTTAGCAGCTCCAGAATGGCCAGGACGATGTCGTTGACGTAGCAGAAACCCGAGGCCTCGGACTTCTTGGCGTGGTGGAGTCCGCCGGCCCAGTTGATGGCGATATCCGTCTGCTGCTTGTTCAACTTCAACGCCCCAGCTGGAACAGGAGATACAGTGAAGCTGGAATTGACATCAATGTGTGGATCCAGAGGACAGAGTGTGGACTGTGCTCCCCAAGCCTTTACTTGGGATTCATTCTGAGCTCGTGTCATAAATGTCCCACTTGCGTGCGAGTTGCTCACAAGGGGAATTACGGGATGTGCCGTTGGGATAACTCACCAACAGATCCACCTGCTGAGAGCTGGCAAAACTCAAACAGACCGTCAAACACCGGACAGTCCTCTCCAACGTTGACTGCAAGAAAAAACTAAAACTCAACACACGTGAAGAGTGAGGATACTCGGCCGTCCATGGGAGGAAAAGGTAAAAGCGCTCACATCGCTGCATCTGTTTGCTGTACTCAGACATGTTGTCTGGTCGTATGGACCTCAGGAACTTAATGTAGTCGTCGCTGTGGTATTTCGTCATCTCTTCGCCGCTGGCTTTGTGTGGTCTCTGGACGCAGAAACGCAGACGGCGAGGAGGAAAGTTACAGCGGACACATTTCGGTATCGGACAGCAGCCGTCGGGTTTGACACGTTTGAGGTTCAGTATCACTTACAGGTCATCCAAATATTACAAGGACAAAGTACTGGACTAGGACGGCCAACCAAATTAGGATTGTGACGGGTCGGTTTGGAGGGGAAAGAACTCACGTAAATCTCCATTTTCCTGTACAGCCCGTAGTTGAGGAGGAGGTTGTGCGTCATGCGGATCCTGTGGGGCTTCATGGGATGGCCTTGGCCGTAGTAGTAGTTCCCAACGTCCCCTGGGACACAAGAAAGGATCCAGACGTGTTTACACAGCAAAATATGTGCAAAAAAGAAGAAGCTACCATGCATTTTCTATTACTAGATTGACTCAATTAAATTAACCGGTCTCCAATACGCTGGTTTCTTCTACGGTTTGGACAATATTCCACTGAGATTTATATGAATAAAACACGTGCTGGACTGTAGATGCAATTATTCATGTGCCAACGTTACTTAAACTAAGAGAACTGCCAGGACGTCGGAGTCAATGATCAAGCGTGTCGGTAAAATAAGGAATTAGATTTATATATTGTTTAAACATACGACGAGTACATGTGACAGTGAGAACATTCATCACTTCAAGCAGCGTACTTTCTTCATTTAACGTTACAGTGCATACAACGTTAGCATCGGCGTGAAAGTGTTAATGCATATAAAACAGAGGGAAATGTATTATCATTATTTTAATGGCACGCAACGTTTCGCTTTCGTATTAACGTTAGGGAAAAAAACGGTAAAGCAGACCGTACTTCTCGGAAGTTCTTGGCAATTTTGGAGAACAATGACAAAATGAACATCGGGTAACGGCAGGTTTGTGGCTTCTCTGCTAACCAGATAGAATAAAATACCGAACATATCCACAAAGCCCAGTCACAAATCAATAAAGCCTTCAACGAAACTACATACATTTCTCTGCTTATTGAATAACTAGACGCTCACGCGAACACCTAGCTAGCTAGCGTTTAGATGCTATGACTAGCTTAGCGAGCTAGCGAATGTTAGCTCGCTGCACCGGCTAGCTAGCATGGCCGCACCGCACGCTTATTCTTTTTTTTAAATACATGTACAATTTCCTGAACATCTACACACACCCGCGGCCGCCTCGACGGGAGGAAAACAACGCGTACACGTTGAATATTTACCGTCATAGTAATAGCAAACTTTTTTCTTTGTTCCTTGAGACAGCGCCATTTTAGCCCCCAATTACTGCACCGTTTAATGCCCACCGGCTGCGCTCTCCTGCACCGAGGGAAACCAGCGTTGAGCTCTCGTCGACCAATCACAGACGCCCGCCCGCCCGACTGGGAGGCGCCGGCGTGACAAACCGAGGACCGCCGAGGTTTTGCGGCCACAACCAGACAGCGTCTAGACTGGAACCGAACACAGAGGCGCGAGACCCCCGAAGGCGTTTCATTATCGTTGATTGTCAGCAACCCTCTATTTGTTTGCCATGTTTAAGTTATTGTATTATTGATTGGGCAACTTAAAATTAGTATTACAATTCTAAAGCTATTTTCAAACTGCTTCCTTGTTGTGACCTTTCAAAACCGAAAATACTATACGCTTTCGTTCATATCTTTCTCAACAACATATTTTCTTATTTATTGTACTTGGTTAATTTATTTCGCAGGAAAGGATCAAGAAAAAAAAACTATAAAATGTTAATTTTCATCAGTTGTCCCTGGCCAGATTTCAGGAATTTGCAAGCAGATGTATCTGATGTAGGTCATGGCACTTGGCACGTAATATAAGATAGCCGCATGCACAAATGCATGTTTCTTGCCAATGTATGTACACCTCGAATCCAAGCGAAATACAGACTTTTAATGAAAATGATTCTAAAAGCCCTCACGTTCCTGTTGCACACAGCGCGTGCAGTATTGCCTCATTGATGCCGGCTATCGCTGGACAGACTGGGGAAACAGACAATAGGCCACCAGCTTCCTGTCGTTGCCCGTAATCAACCAGCGGGAGGCAGCGGGAGCTCACGCGTGTTTCACTGTCTCTTCCAAATCTCTGCAGACTCCGTCGTTGCCGAATGACAAATGCAGCATCTCTGAGCGGATCCGTCAGAGAATATCATGTGTAGTAAACAGTGTAAACAATTTAGAGGACCAACGTAACCCTGGAGAGATGCACGGCTCAGTGTACCTGCACAATATTACGGCATGAGAATGAATGTTTTTTTTGCTCTGAAGTCACTTATGGTAAAATAAATCGACCCTTTGAGCTTGAGAAATCGCCTGCTTCAAGTGGCAGAAGGCCGCGTCCATGTGGAGGCCCCCAGCTTCCTTTCAATAATTCATAATCGTTTGAAGACCGGCTCCAAACGCGCCTCAGATCTCAACTCATCCCATCAGCATGTGAACTAGGTCAGACCTTCCTGTGTTCAGTCGGCCGTGTTCAGAAGGCCACTCGCCTGCTTCAGATGCAGGAAATATTGTAGATGTGATGGAGGAGGAGGAGGAGGAGAAGAAGGAGCAGGAGGAGGGGCGAGCGGCGGCAGAGGTAATGGTGTTGATCTCAGGGCCACACCACTAATGGAGGACCGGGGGGGGTCATCGGAGCGAACGCGCTGTTCAATTGGTCGGCTACCAACACGCTTGTTTCTCATTTGAGGTCTAGTTTTTTTGTCTTTGCCGGATGCTTTGCGTTTCTTTATGCTCGGGACATGAAAGCTCCTGCAGCGGGTTTGCGATATTGGACCACACAAATACGATTGACCCGAGTTGACGTGTTGGTTTAAATCCGGGGCAGAGTGAGTGACGATCCGATGAAGGCTAATATCACGACGATGAGGCTCGAAAACAAACGACGTAACAAAGCTGAGCTGCATGTGCTGACTAACAGCCGCCGAGGCCACAGGTGACCACCGGATAACGACGTGGCTTTAAGAAGTTTTGGTGAATCAAAACCCTCTGCGGGTTAAAGGAATAAAATAAGGATTTTTATTGTTTGGTTTGCAAAAAGGAAAATGTGTTTATTCATCCGTCAAAAGTTGCTTTTAAGTTGGAGTTTAGGGTAAAATATGGAAGGAAGCTGCTGCTGTGAAGCCCTTTATTCTTTTGATGTAGGATGTCAGTCACTGAAGCGTGTGCTACTTTGTAACACGTGTGTGGCGTGATGTAACCATGGAGACACGCACACAAAACGGGCAGGTAACCAACATTTATTTACCATTAGCAACTTTACAATAAAACCAGAAACATCTGTCAACATTAGCAAAATAAAGAACAGAAATCAATCCAATGTATTTACAGAGACAAAGCAGATTCAGGCTCACATACGACAGGTAAACAACTCTGCTTCATATCAAACCGCAACAGTGAACATAGCAAGCTTAAGTGTTCTTTTTTTTTTTTCATAGTAAGGTAAAAATCAAAGTTGTCTATTTTTTTTTTCTTTAAACAAACGAGTAATAGCTTCTCTGAATCTTTAAGATGCTTCTCTATAATACACCACAAAATACTTCAAATTTGGGTTAAAATATAGGAATGTAAAAAGTTGGCGAGTCTCTTCATTTTCTGATTTCATTTTTTTTTTTTTTGCTCCATCAACAGTCATTTCAAGTGGTGGTGTCCTAGTGTCTAGCTTCTTTCCTTCAGCAAGGAGGCATCTTCATTTGCAGATTTTTTTTTTTTTTCAGGGAGAGGGGGAGGGGGGGCGTGGGATGCTTTGACTCCATCCATCCTTCATCCATCTTTGCTTCATGGTGTCATCGGCTCGCGTTCTAGCCATTTAAAAATCCAATTCGGCACCCAGCGACCGGCCCACTCAGTCCGGGTCCGGATGTGGAGCAGAAACCGGGGAAGTGATCTAGTGAATCTAGTCTGCCGTCTGGTTATCACGACGACAAGTGGCACGTCGAAGGAGTCTCTCACATACATGTGTATATATTTACATATACATATATCCATATACATATGTATACATATACATATACACATATATATATAAATATATATATATGCTCTTAAATTCTTTCTCTCTCTCTCTCTCTCTCTCTCTCTCTTGAAAAAAGGTTCACCCAGTTCATTGTGAGCTTCAGGTACAATCACTCCTTCTTTTCAGAGGGGGCCGGGGTCGAGCTGCTCTCCTCTGCTGGTTTCGTGGCCTCGGGGGCCGGGGCAGCTGCCTCCTTGGCCTCCTCCTTGGGGGCCTCCTCTTTAGCCGGCCCCTCCTCCGCCTTCGGGGCCTCTGCTGCCGCGGCAGCGGCGGCGGCGGGGGCAGGGGCAGCCTCCTCCTTCACCACCTCCTGCTTCTTCTCTTCCTTCTTCTCCTCGGCCGGAGCAGCAGCTCCGTTCTCGGCGGGCTTCTCCTCGGAGGGGGAGGCGGTTGTGGTGGCGGCGGCGGCGGCGTCTGGGGTGGCAGCAGCGGCGGCGGCGGCCGGCGCTTCCTCCTTGACGGCCTCGCTCTTCTTGGTCTTCTTCAGATTGAGTTTGAAGTTGAAGGACTTCTTCAGGGAGAACTTCTTCTTCTTCTTCTTGGGGGTCTCCTTGGCCGCGGCCTCGCCTTCGGGTTTGGCCGCCTCTCCGTCCGCGGCGGGCGCCGGCTCGATGGCGTCCCCGGCGGCGCTGGCCTCAGGCTCTTTGGCGGCATCGGCCGAGCCGTTGGTGGCGGCAGCATCCCCGTCGGGCTTTGTGGAGACATCCCCGTTGGTTTTCACATGTCCATTCTCCTGAAGAAAAAAAAAAAGGTTCACACCATAAGTCACCTGTTTCCAAACCTCTTGCCTAAATTGTACCCCCCTCCCCCCCAAAAAAAGCTCTGCTGATGCATGAAAAACGAAATGAGACTGTTTGGAGGAGTATTTTCCATTTATTCTCAGTGCAGCGTCGTGCTCATCAATTAACCACCGTGTCGCGCGGCTCCGAGGCGACGCCTTGCAGTACCCGGATGAAGCGATAGGCGGCGGTGGCGCCTCGCAGACCGGCCGCGGTGCCAGACGGACACACATCGGCTCAACAAAGACCGGAGCTCATCGATAGAGGCATGAACCCCCCCCCCCCAAAAAAAAAAAAAAAATCAGGAATAAAAAAAAAAAAAACGTCTGAAAAAAAAAAATTCCCGTTTTTTGGGCCCCTTCCCATAAAAACCCTTAATTAAAAGGTGTTTTTTTAACCCTCCAAAAAAAGATATTTAATTTGGGGCCAAATAAACCCTTTTTTTCTATTTAAATTTTTTTGGGAAACCCCATTTTTTCCCCCAAGCAAACCCGGGGGGGGTTTTAAAACGGGGGGGGGTGGGTCCTTGGGGCCCTGGGCCCCCCCCCCCCCCCCCCCCCCCCCGCCCCCCTTCATTGCCACTATCAACCACGTTTGGCGGATTTGGGGTTAAAGCTCGCGCACAAATAGACGACAAGTCAATGAACTTCATCTCAATTTTTCATTTACGATAAATAACAACGGTTATATTTTCTTTTTTTCCCCGCAGATAGAAATAGAAATAAAGACACCTGCCTTGCCCCCCCCCCTACACACACACATTCAAGTTGTATCGATTCCCCGCCACGTCTTTATGAAATAACAAGTATCCCCATTGATAAAGACGGAAGGTGTGTTACCTGTCCGTTGGTCTTGACAGCTGCAGCCCCCCCGGCGGCGGCGCCCGCCTCCGCGGCCACGTCTCCCTTGGATGCCTGGGATCCCATTGTCTTCTTCTGTGGTGTGTTTGCTGGGAGTCTTCCAAAGAAAAGCAAAAAGCAAAACTAAAAAAAAAGAGCGGCCGTGAGTAAATCCGAGCCCGGGGCGAGTTACGTATCCAGCGGTGAAACGGAGAAACGTGTCGCGGTGGGATTGGGCTGTTTTTCTCGTGGTTTTGTTCTCGCGGTCCTTCCTCTCGGTGGCTGCTGTGGTCAGACTTGTCACCCCGCTGGAGAGAGACCCTCTAAGCTCATCGCTGGTTGAGCGCAACGCTTCAACATACAGCGGGTCCGAGGCGCCGCCCGTGGGCGGGGCCTGGTGAGCTCTGGCCAATCAGAGGGCGGTCTAGCCGGCTCTGGCCAATCAAGCCTTTACTATCTAATTGTCCCCGCCCCGTAGAAAACCCCCAGCAATGAAATCGATTTATTTCTGCTCAATACTGTGTTTTTTGGGGTTAAAAGTATGTTTTCTTTTAACGTAGCATTATTTTTTTGCTTTATCAGTGTGCTGTTACTGTGCGTCTGCTCGTTTACTTCCGTTTTTTTTATCTACTAGGTTACATGGCGCTGAGGATTAATTAAACAATGCCTTGTTGTGAACTTATTAATTACTTACTTATTATTATTACTTTTTATAGGAATGACAGAATGAGTTTTGAAACTTTACCACCTTTAGCAATTTACCTCATCCAGGTCGATGGATGCGCCATGAATAAATGGCAATGGTTTCCATTAAGCCTATTTATTTATTATTCTACTAATTGCTTATTTTTTGTCTATAAAATGCCTGAGAGAATGTTTCTGTGACTCACAGTCCAACACACAAAATATATTCAATATAGTCAAATTCCAAATTAAGACAAACAGCTACTTCTTATTTTCTAAAAAAAAACAACACAAATGTGTGTGTAATCATCTGATTGTTACCGTAATCCTCTCAATTCATTGAATGAAGTAATGCAATAGTTTAACTTTTGAGTATTTCTTTTTTTTTCAGAGTGTGTCACTTTTGGTTTCAATAACACTGCAATGTTGAAATATCCCAAATCCCTCTCTTATTCAGCATTTTGTCGCAGTCTTAGTCAAACCAAATACAACACGTGTTTCCAGAAGAAAATCTTTGGATTTTTTCCCCCCAGAATTCTGATTCTGGTTATGTATGTGTGTAATGTTACCAATACAACATATCCAGAAACAGGACTTCCTCTGGCTGTGGCCGTCCAGCTAGCAGCTCGATTAGTTGAATAAGTAAGTTATGATGGTCATGAGCTCGTGGTCACAGTCTTTCAGAAATAAGGGCAGAAGTATGTCACCAACAGATGACACCACACAGGACAGGAATCTTTGCGATGTACGGCCGAAACATTCAGCAGGAAGAGAAACAAATGAGAGTTTATCGCGTCTACTTTCGCCTTCTGCCCCGGCTCACCCTTCTCTTCTCCATCCACCCGTCTCCGCCAGCAGCAGCTGAGAGGTAAAACGGACTTACTTTCGCCAGACAATGGTGAATAAAAGGTTGAACCCATTGTGGGCATGAGGACACGGGGTTCAGGATCGCGTGTCCCTCACGGCTCCATGACTGGATGTGTTGTTCACTTGTCCGCTTGTCAACAACATACCAGCAGCAAAAAATGTCAACGTGACCATCACGCACATTCCACCTGATCGCGTTCCTCGCTGCGACCGCTGAAGCTGCGCGTCTCCGGTCGTGAGAGTTCGATGTCACAAACGGCCGCTGCTGGGACCAATCGGCCTAATGGGTTCCGCGAGACCCGGGGAACGCTAAAAGCCTCCAGCTCTCCGAGTCACATGGACGTCAACGCAAGCGTTGGCCGACGTTGGAAACGATGCATTCGTTGTCAGGTTGATCGGAGCGCTTCCCATGCAAGCGTTCGTGCAATATGGTGAATAGCATATTGTAAATACGGCCTCACCGGAGGAGTCAGTCAAAGGGCCGTTTGTGCAATAAATGGCCTCAAATATCATGTTAAACCTTCAAACTCTAAAGGAATAATTCAGATTTCTTGTTTTGCTGGTTGCTATTCCTGCAGACACCTCACTCTCGACACGGGAGCGATTATCCCGCCAAATATTCCTGAACGGGGCGAAAGGTGTGCATCTGTTTCCCTCCCTTTGCATTATGAAGTGTCGTCATTTAAAAAAAGCAGCAGCACGCCAGCGATGTATCAAGGGCAGTCGTGAGTTTGCAGCACTGGATTTGTGTTTCTGTGCCTCGTCCCGCTCCGAGGCTCCATCACTGGGAGCCGACCTCCCTTCCTTACACACACACACACACACACACACACACACACACACACACACACGGATCACGCTGCATCCGTCGAGCTGGCCTTGTAAATGTCATAATAATGTGTCCACTGTGTGCTGCTGTGGAATGCCTGGCACGCCGGCCCTCCCCTCTCCTCCAGCCATCTTCTCCTGTGAATGGGCTTCTTCAGCCTGCTTGAGGTAACTAAGAGAGACAGAGAGAGAGAGAGAGAGAGACAGAGACAGCCATGGTCAACTTCTGCACATGGAACCACATCAAGGGCTCCTTTCTTCTCCTTCCATGTAAAACCCGCTTCCTGTGTGACGGCGGTGACGCCGGCGGCTGAGGCCTCATCGTCTCCCGGCCCGCTCGCTCGCTCGGCCCTTTTCCCCCCTGCGCAAAAAGCGTGTCTGCGTGTGCGTTTTTTTTCTTCTTCGTCGCCCCGTGTTTGCGTCTGTGTGCTGTGCGCACATAAGGGAGGCATTGTCGAGGGACCAGCGAGCGTCAGGGGGGGGGAGAAAGGCACAGAGAAGCAATCATTCACACATAGACACACATTACGCGACGCAAACACAAAGCCAAGCAGGGCATCAGCTGTGACAGAGTTCATATGCAGCGAGAACTGTGTGTGTGGGTGTGGGGGGGGTTCTGATCTGTATGATAGAGCCGGGGCCCAGAGGTACTGTAGACGCAGCCACATCATTGTTTGGACAAATGACATGCTGATGGCAGAGCGATAGCATCAGGTGTGGCCAAGGTATGTGATGAGAATACCTTGCGATAAGAAGGGAGGGGCGGCGGGGGGGGGGGGGGGGGCATTCTGGGATTTGGAGGAGGAGGGCGAGATGTAGATAAAGATGGAGCCAGACGAGGGAGGACGCCTAAAGACAGCTGGGAGCAGAAAGGTCACGTTGGAGGATTGACGCCTGAGAATCCTGACTCACCGGGTCACGCCCGGGATCCTCGGAGCACACGGTGCTTTTCTCACGCCGCTTAATGATGGACGGGGAATCAAAATGCGTTTCCTGATCTGGGTCTGTGGTATTTAAGATGGCAAGAATTAGCCAGAAAGGCAAAAGCGGGACTTCTTTGATGCCCCACAGGTTGGGCTCGGTTCACTTCAATTCATCAACATTTGTCTGATCTTTTTGATTCTCTTTGACGCCGTGGAAGCATAAAAACAGTTTTCTTCCATAAATAAATCTAAAACACGCTCAGTTAGTGAAACACCAATCAGATGCCTGAAATAAGGTCTGTGGTTTTTGAATTTGAATGTTTTATTCTATGACAAATAGGTAAATAAGTACCACCTACTTTTTGAAGCCCAGGATTAAAAGTTAAACATTTTTCTTACCCAAACGTTGCTATAATTATTAATTATTTTTATGAACGCCGTGACATCATCATTTTTGATGAATCATTGTTCTCCTGCTAACCAGGTCAACCATAAATGGCTTTTAACTTTGCTCTGAGGAAGTCACCTAACTCTCACACACACTCCCGTGTGTGTTTTACTGACTCGAGGTGCGGCGGAGGCAGCGAGGTGCTTTCCAATCACTCAACCGGTGGTTTTATGGTGATATGGGAAGGTGGGGAAACCAAAAGTATGGTGTCATGTTTGGTCTCCATAGCAACCGTCTGAAACAACAACTAACTGAGGGTTCCGGTTCAAATAATCGAGAAACGTTATTGTCCAAGAAGGCCTCGACGGCACCTCCATCACAGCTTCAAAGGGCAGGTATCCCATTTTTATCTTCACTCCCAAACACCTCACAAGGCTGTAAAACGATCACATGACGTCTAAATGAGCCAATCAGGGCCGTCGGCGTTCTCTACGGCTCGCTGTCACTTTGTCACACCCTGTTAAACCTCAAGGAAACATCCAAGTCTTTTCCTCGCCCTTTGACCTTGAATTATAATCAGCAATTTTAATCAAAGCCGGCGGAGCCGCGGCCAACACCAGACCTCGTGCAGGGACAATAGACAGCATATGGCTCAGATATCAGACAAATGCCGAGCAGGAAAGAGAAATAATCACGGCCCTAATGGCCCGAGGTCAAAGGGGGTCACGTCTAGGGGCCAAACAAACAATGGTGCGAGGGAATGGCGAGGTGGGGCTCTGCAGCTCACCCGTCTTGTTCAACGACAGCTCGCCGTTAACGCGTCGTCTTGAGCGGCAGAGAAGCGGCTTGATGTTACAGTCACGGTGGTTTAGTGTCCTCGCGCCTGTGACGCCGAGAGGGGAAATCGTAGTAAAAAGTCCAAAGAGACTCGCGGTGCTTTCCCCTCGCCGCTGAAATACTCCTGTCGACCCAGTTGGACCCACGGAGCACGTTTCACTTTCACTTTCTGCCCACCTCGCCTGGGCCATGGTCAGAGACGGGGAATCCCTGCGGGGGATTTCGAGAAAAGGTAAATGTAAATACCATAGTGAGAGAGAAGACATTAGATCTACCCCCCCCACCCCCCACCTCCCCTCCGCACGCCTCCGTGGTTTTTTTACAGTTACATAAGACTTGATTTTGGTTCTACATTTTCAGGATGCAAAGCCGATTTTGTAGTAAATGTGGAATTTCAGCCTTGACGTTGCCCAACAATGTAGAAATAACTTGACTCAGACTTCCAGCCGGTCTTTGTCTAACATACTGTACACACGCACACACACACACACACACACACACACACACACACACACACACACACACACACACACGCACACACACGCGCGCGCGCCCGGCACACGGAGCTGTGGAAATGGTGTCAGCCCAGTGTAAATCCTTTTTGACATGTGAGCGTGCCAGTGACCTTATTACCATGACAACAGTTTCTAGGGGATAATAACGTTGTGGCAATGCTGACACAATATGACACAACAGCGACACTCGTTGTGCGACGTGTTGCTGAGGTTTTTTTCTTTTTACTTTCCCCTTTTTCTTCCCCTTCGCGTTTGCAAAATGCAGTTTTCTTTCTGGTTGTCGTTTCTCCTCCGTGTGCGTCTGTGTCGTCTTGTTGTCTCGTGGAATTTGGAGGAGAATTCGTCCTTCCAGCTGCTCTCGAGACATGATTGAGGTAAAGGTAGGTCAGGCCCATCTCCGAGCTCGTGAGCGCTCACTTCCTGTGTGTGTGGGTGTGTGGGTGTAAAATCTGCGTGCACCCACGCCAGAGTCCGAAAATAAACGCTTCTTCTTTCCTACATGTGAGCGCATTCAGCAGAACGGAACGGCGCGCCCACCCTCCCCCCACCTCCCACTTTCCCTCTTCTGCCTCCTTCGCTTCCCTCCGTCCGTCCTGAGTGGGAGAGACAGAGAATGTCAGAGGAAAGGAGGAGAGAACGTGGAGCTTGTTTGCGTGCTGTTTGGACCAAACGCGAGACGTTTGAGTGACAAAAGGAGGCTGTAGAGGAAGAGCGTGTTCAGAGAGGATGCTCAGCTGAATTCACGTGATGTTATTGAAGTGGAACTCTTATTTCTACCTGTTTCCTCCGAGACGCATTCTGTGAATGTGGTGATTCTTCGTCCTCCTCTGATTGCTGGCGAACCAGCTGGTGAACGTTTATTCCACCGAGCGGACTGGAATGTGGAACAAAGCTACGGCGCTCGCGTAGAATCCACGAGTTTACGCAGAGAGTAAGAATCCCTCGTGACTACTCAGGCCTCATGAAGCCGTCTATTATTCACTACACCCAGTGTATGTGTATAGAATCGTGGTAACGAAACTGACTGAAAGAGCAATCGGTGGACTTTCCCTTTAGGCGACATTGGTGACCAACGCCGCATCCACGTGCTGCTTCCCTACTCGTGACCTACTCCAACTTTATTTGGCTGAATTTACATGAAGGGTTTCCGCCACGTGTCCACCCACTCTGAAAGCGGAGCTTGTTTATTTTTAAAGAAAGTCAGAATCGTGCAGATTGCATCAATAAATTGTAAAATGCTGAGAGTGTAAACAGGCGTCCGGGCCTCCAGGACGTCAGACCCCTTTTATTGTGAAAAGTCAAAAGATTGAAAGCTCTTCGGACTCTTCGGACTTTCAGAACTGCGGAACTTTATCGCCGTACTGCACGTTTCCGCCGGTCAGAGCCTCGCCTGGACACATGGGCGCGCTTGCAGTGGGCGGGGGAGGAGCGAGAGGTTCTGCGCCGGGGGGAGGAGGGGGAGGAGGAGGAGGAGGGGAGGAGGGGGGGGGGGGATGGATGCACGGTTGATGAGTCAGAGATGGAATGCAGAAAGGAGAGAGGGAGAAGTGCTGATGAATGGCTCCATGGCACACTGACCCACTAATGTGAAACGCACACGTCCTCATCAGGCTCCTTTGACTTGGAGCTCCTCGGCATCACACCGCGTCACGTGTTGCACGCGCGTTTCCTTCTTTTTTTCACCCAGTTTTTTTAGTTAAGCGCTGAAATAACACGTTGGCCCGACTTCTGCTAATGTGAAGGCGACGAGGAGGAAGTAGTGAACACGCCACAGCTTTCACCACTTCTGCCCCCGCTGAATTTCAGAGGGAGGCCTTCTACTTATGAGTGGGCAGCGTGTCAGGTGGTCTGAGGATGATCGTCATGTGACTTTAACACTTTAACCTACAGCCCCGGGCCAAAGTGGTGACTGGACCTGCAGCTAAGTGTTAGAATGCATAAAGGGTGTAGGGGGGGGGGAGGTGGATGCAGATGGAGGCCCTTATTTAATTGTGTTGAACCATTCTGTTCCTCTTTTTAACTAGTTTCTCCTCCTTCGATTTGATCCTTTCTTGCAGTACAATTATGAAGGAACCCAACAACAACGCCACCATTGACTCTGGTGAGCTCATCACTGCTGCTGTCTGTACAGTCAACTAATTAAGTAGATCCGAGACATTATATTTGAAAGGTCTCGCTTCTAGGGACCTCAGTGCCGCCAGTGATGGTCCCTGAAATCATCCTCTACACGCAAAAAAGCCACGACACACATCTGCGGGGGGAAAGGAATCACACGCACATGCACACGGAATTAGGATGTGGTGAGACTGACAGGTGACGGCGAGGAGGCGCGGCTGAATGTGAGCTCTTCCTGCCGCTTTGAAGGGACTGAAATACATGTTTGTCGTCCCACCTGTTTCCTACTTATCAGCGTGCGTGGCTTCGATGTGAGATCTTCTCAAGCCGTCGCCGCGACGTGGAGCTTCTCTCCCCCCCCCGCGGCCTTTGGGTTATTCTGAGTAACCCGAGAACTCGATGAACGGAGGGTCTTTGTTGTTGGCGGCATAAAGCATTCTGGCCCTTCATTCGCGGGGGAATGAACAGAGGAGGGAGGTGAGGCGGGTTCCCCGATGGCCACGAGGCGCTTGAGCCTACAGTGGTGTTCACACAAGGCCCCGGCAGTCAGCTGGCGAACCCAAGACACGGAAACCACATCCGGCGGCCTGAAACCGACACGGGGCTGCAGAGACCGCCGGCAGGTCACGTCGTTCCCAAAGAATTCAGAGAATCTGCGTCGTTCCGTGAACCCGGTGAATTGGTTCATCATGTGGTCGGCGCGACGTGAGGAGGTCGAGCGCGGGTGACGGAGGAAGCAGAGAGGGCGGCGCGCTGAAAAGCCTGAAAAGCCACAGTGGAATCGCTGCCCTTGACATCAACACACACACACACACACACACACACACACACATGGACTTTGCCCCCCCCTCCCCCCCCCAGGCTGGCACATGGAGCGGTGGGGGGAGGGAGGCTGCATGCCCAAGGATGAGACTAAAAAGAGAGAGAGAGAGAGAGAGAGAGAGAGAGAGCAATCCACGGATAGCAAGATGGCCGCCTGCCTCTCGCACACTCCCACTAAATTAAAAGACGGTCGAAACAGACGGAACCACGAGGAATAATTCCCTCTTCCCGCTCGGACCGGAGCGTCTGCGGCGTCGCCATCGTCGATCACAGGTCGCCCCCCCCCCCTGAACAATCCCGTGTGAACCGAGGGTCCCGCTGCACATGCTGGAAAACCGCAAAACGATTCCTGGCGAGGGGTTTTTCACTGGAAATGCTTTCAAAGCTCAACACAGATTCTGCACATAAAAGACATCTAGAATTTGACCTCTAGGCACGATATGTGCACTGCATAGCATTTTTTTTGTGGAGGGGGGGGGGTTGCGACAAAGGCTAATGATCACATGAACATACATGGACTACGGGGAAGCTGGACGAGAGGAATGAGTTGGTAATCATTAGAGACAGAGGAAGGGAAAAGGAGGGGCGTATAGCGTGGAGAAGTGTTGACCTAATTCTGTGCAAATGGCTTCTCCTGTGACAGAATTGATGGCGTTCTACATTGCAATGCCTAAGACTGAGTGTGTGTGTGTGTGTGTGTGCTGAGGTTGTGCAGACTCATGAAATCTACGACAGGCAACATGGTGCATAGATGTTCTCTCTCTTATTGTGATTGTCGCCGTACCGCTGAGAAGCGTGCGGTCTTTATGTGTCGGGGGGAGCAGTGCTGCAAAAAGCAGTAAATGGAGAAACTGAAACGAAAATTCGCACATTTGGCTGAACATATTGAGCGTTTAAAGTCTGAATGGAGACCAAACGGTTGCAGATGTTTTGCAGACTACTTTGTAGTAAACCCTGGAACGACTAAAAACAATGGTCCTTCGTCTCCCCTCTGTCTCTCTCTCTCTCTGTCTCTCTCGCTCCCCGTCTCTTGTTACCTGTCCCCCAAGTTGACAGAATCATACGTGGCACCAATTACCCCGGTCTGGGCCCGTCAGCTGGAGGAGAGCAGAGCCGGAGGAAGTCAAAAGGACGGCTGAGCGTCTCCTCTGTGGGGTCGGAGGCTGATGCGCTGACGGGGACACACATCTCTGATCCGGAGAGTCACTGTGTGTGTGTGTGTGTGTGTGTGTCGCTGACATTAAGCCGATACGGAGGTCGACGTTACCACGTTAGCATTGCCATTTTTAGCTTTTAGCGTTGCCATTCACATATACCTGTAACATGTCAGACCGAACCCTACGAGAAAACAAGAGCAGATTTGAAGTGTTGGAGATTATGGAAATGTCTAAACTCAAACTGATCAAAGTGCAATGTTTGAATTGGATTCCGCCCTAACGTCCATAAACACGATGTTTTATTACTGCTGCTGAGCTGAACTTTGGAGCGCCATTACAGACCTCCCATTGTCCACTACAGTGCTCCCATCAATTGTTTGCCAACAAAGCCAATAAAAGATTCAGTTTGCGGTTTCAGTCCAACCGCCTCCGTCATTTCCCCTCAACGCCACGGCCTTTTGCCTGCGCTTGTGTGTGCGAGGCCTTATCCGCGTCCTTCGCTCAGGCGGTTAAAAACAGCGACACAGCAAAACCAAACAAAATGCTTTTGCTTTCCAGTGGAGGGTCTATTTTTGAAGCGCAGCCACCAGAAGTGAAGAAAGGGTCTTGATCCGCTGCCGGCGATCAACAGATGGCCGATTAGCATTTCCAAATCTGCCGTCAAACTCTGTAATGAAATGGGGAATGATTGGAATTCAGCAAGAGACTTTATCAGCTCACACTCTCTCCCTCTCTCTCTCTTTCTGTTGCCTTTCCTCCTTTTGATTAGCAAGTAAAACATCCGTCTGATGGCTCATTGATCGCCTGCTGGTTTTAAACAGAGCGTATTTATGGCTGCGTGCCCGTGGAAAGACGCACACGAGAGCAGTGCAATTTACTTCTCCTTTCACGCCGCCACGTCCTCCTCTATAACACTCTCTCCCTCTGTCCCTCTGTCCCTGTCTCCCCGTCTCCCTCTCTCACGCCTTCTGTCTCTCCATCTCGCTCTTCCATATCCATTTCCAATCAGCTAAATTCCCCTGGCACGGCGGAATAATCTGTCATCATTCACTATATCAAGTGCATGTGGACTCACACACACACGCACACACACACACACACACACACACACAGGTCCTATCCTGTAATGTCATTATGGCACCCACTGAGTCAAATTACACTGAATCAATAGGTCTTGTTTATCTGTTGGGGGCCTCCTTGCTCTCAATTACAGCCCAGGGGAACGTCTATGGAGGGGAGCACGTGTGCGCATGTGTGTGTGTGTGTGTGTGTGAGGTTTAAGATGGCCTTGGCTGTATCAGCGGCCGTTGTGCGTTCTGCGGCCTCCGCATCGGGACGAGGGCTTCGGCGCGGAGGGCCGATAAGCTAATTGACCCCCCCTGACTGTGTGAGAGAGGAGCCCATTGACATGCAGCCCGGCGTCTGAGGCGCGCCACACAACAATGAGGAGAATGTTAACGAGTGGCTTCTCTCTGACGGCGAGGTAAACAGCGCAGCAGCCCCCGACGTCTCTCGGCATTCATTCGGCCAAATTATCACATGCAGCCGGGAGCCGATTCTGTGACAAACATTCCTGGAATCCCCGGCAGTTTTTACATCACAGGGTGAGGCGGGGGCTCGGCCGCGGTTTTCGACGTTCTCTCCTTTTGTTTTATGCAAAATGTTGATTTTGGCTGCTTCAGCCAACCTGTGGTTAAGAGACGACCTGCCTGCAAACCGGGCGGCGCCGCCCCTCCTCGGAGCCTGGTCAAACCAAATGGGGCCGGGAGTGTTGATGTGAAACAGTGGAGCGGCCCGGGGCCTCTTCAACCAATGTATCCATCCTTTCTCATGCTAATCTGTGATTGGCCAAGACAAATACAATGAAGCTCAGGGAGGCCGTTTACCTTCCGGGTTTCCGGGTTGCCAGTCAAGTGATACCTGTGACCGACAGGAATCTGGTCCAGATCTTCTGGGGGTCCAGAGGCTTCGCCAGCAGACCAAGAATCGCCACACGGCAGCTTTTTGACCTTTTTTCTTCGACCAGCAGACGCCAACGGAGAGCGATGTGTCATTTTCCCCTGCAATGTGGGCGGGACTTCATCACACCTTGCCTGTGTGCTCTGGGCGGGGCCGCGGTGATTGACAGCTAAGGCGGTAAACTCCTTCCACTATAACAGACAAGCAATTAGCACACACAGACCAGATTAGAGCGCCACTGTTAAACCCCCCCTGTGTGCAGGAGACGCAGAAAGCGTCAATAAAATGAATGTCGCTGTAATTGGGCGGAATATATACGTGCGTTGAGAAGAGACTCCAGGTTCTGGGAGCGTGACGGAAGCAAGGTGATAACGGAAGGTCTCGCTTGGGAGACGAAAACAAAACAAAGAGGCAGGGCGGAGGACGGGAGGACGGGAGGACGGGAGGGTGAGGGGGTGTAAACAGAGCAGAAGAAGGAGAAGAAGAGGAGGAGAGAGAGCGAGCGCGTCCACATGAATGTTTCATAGATGTAGTGAAGCAGCCTTCCAGTCACCCTGCGTACAGACGCTGTGTGTATTTATAGTGCGTCTTTGAGTGTGGGACTGTATGCAGGTGCAGACTCTAGGCAGTCGCTTTGATCGTACAGATGGGAATGTGTGCGTGTGTGTGCGCGTGTGTGCGCGTGTGTGTGCGCGTGTCTGCACAGGGAGGATAAGTTCAGCCGCAGAGACTTGATGAAGACTTTGCCTTGCGGTGAATCCTGAGCTCACATCACACTTGATCACTTGAAAGAAGTGTCATGGCACAGCGTGACAAATCCATCACATACACACACACACACGCATCTATCTTCTTCCTTCTTCCCTTGGGTTTCATCACGCTTCATTCATTGAACTCACACATGTCCTGTAGGCCCCATTTGCTGCAAACAGGGGTGTGTTATTTGATGCTTTTCTGGGGTTTGGCTTCATGCGTTTAGCCGCTCATCACATTTATTCATGTTGGGTAATCTCAGCGTGTCGCACTCGGCTGCTTGACGGGAGCCGTGGCTCAGCAGAGACTGACAGTATTTGAGGTAACGGGATCGGGCTCATGATGGGGAATCCAGTCACATACGTGGTGTTTCCTCCGTTTTATTTTTCAGTCACGAGTGGAACATTTTTCCAAGCGATCGATAACTGGTTGTTTAATTCTAGTGTTTTAGTTTAATTATTTCTAAAATAAACGATATTAATAATGAATTACTTTATTTTGCACATCTTGTGCACAGGTCTTATAGCTTAACTAGAGGAATATTTCAATTTTGAATCTGTCCGTTTAATATACAGCCAATCTATGTCCAATTACCTCCAAGAGGCTCTAAAGCTCACGAGTCAAATAATATAACACCTTTTAAACCTGTTATTGAGGTTTTCATACACTACAGCGTATTAAAGGTAGAGCTGGTAGCTGCTTTGTGTTTCCTTCGGAAAGAGTTTTTTTCCAGTGTCCATATTGAGATTTATACCCTCATAGAGTTCAGGGAACGAGGAGAATCAATCTGCTTCTTTTGACTCTTGGTAAGAAAGTTAAAGAAGGTATTTCCCGACAATGTTGACTTGCTGCCTTCAAGGAAATCACGAGAGAAGATGCTTCTCTTTGGCTTCCGTAAAATGTCTCCCCATCCTCCATTCCTGGGGAGACTTCCTTGAGACTTTCAAGATACGTATTGTTGAGGATTCCCTTTCTCTTTCTTATCCTTTGTTTACGTCTGGTCTCATATCTTCCCTCCATCCGTCTTCCATCCCGTGTGTTGACTCGCTGCAAGGTCTGTCTGTTTACCCAGAATGTAAACAGTGGAATGAACGCACAGGGGTCACTGTCAGGGTCACTTTCTCTGCCCCCCCCCCGGTGCTAATGACAGGTCTAGACATGCTTGATCGGGATTAAGGCCCGGGAAGGCCTGCAGAGCCGGGGTCAAGCTGGGAGAAAGGCGGCTTTAGCCCGGACGCGTACACCCCCGAGGGGGCCCTGGCATGGGCACCAGAAGGGCCACACGGGGGCTTCTGGAGGGACGGTTGAGGGTCACGGCGAAGGGGAGCAATAAGGACGGAGGCGAGGGGAAAAACAAACACCCGTCATCGGAGTCCTGCGCGAGCTCAGTGTACAGATGCTCCGACGTTGTCGAGGGAGATGCTTTCAAATGACTGAGGGTGCGAACGAAAATGTGCATGAAGATAATTTATTGGAAACTTAATAATACCTAAAAACAAACAAGACAAAGTGTGACAAAAAATGTTCTGTTACATTTTGACTGAATCACTATTCTAATTGTATAATTATTATGAGTGTTTTCCTGAATGAGAATTAAACAACCAATGCGAAGGTGAAGGACTGAACACAGTGATACTCTCATCCGCTTTTCATTTTTGCAAAGCCATGACCTTTTAACCCTTCCGTCTTCCTGTCTATTGACTCTTTTCCATTCAGGTGCATGCAAATCACGCACGTGAGCGCGTTGGAGGTGGAGGACACCAGCTGCTGCTCAGGCCGCTGGGCATAATAAAGAGGGGACGACACCACCTAGCCGGCATCCAATTCCCCTCCTCGCGGCCTCCAGATGGATCTAATTCATGATCATTTGTAAACATCCGGGAGAGGAAAGCGAAATATATATATGGAGCAACTCTGGAAAAACAGCATCCAGCAGGGGGGAGCATTCAGAGTTGGATCCCTGGTGGATTCGGGACGTGTGGCCCCGCGGCTGTCTAGCAGGGGACACTGGGCCCCGCTGGCCTTGAGGGGGATGTGTGTGGCACCTCAGATACCGAGGGGGAAGGTCAAACGGAGGAGTAATATCGACCGTTATCAGTGACATGCAGACAAAAAGGCACACGGTAATAAACACAAACAAAGTTCGGAAGTACGTCTCTCATTCTGATGGAAGTTTTAAGATGCGGTTGTGTTCGGGCGCCGACATTAGACGTTTAGAGAGAGCGGTTGGGCTTCAAATAAGTACGGAAACAACGTAGCAGGAAAAGACGGTCAACAGTTTTCTAAACGTCTTTCAGGAAAATTCGTTCAGTCTCCTTTTTCAGTAACAACTTCTTTTTGTTTTTGTGTACGTGAATCCAAAACGATCTTTCTATCCGGCATATTTTTATTCATCCCCTTCTTCTTCACAACGCGTGAGTCTCAACTGTCGCCTGCAGCTCCAACGCCATCGCGCCACAACCACATGCGCGTGTTTGGTTGGGTGAGAGCGTAATGTGTGAACGTGTAAATGTAACACAACGCGTGTACCTCCGTGACGCACACTCACGGGTTCCTCCCCGTTCACAGCCCCTTTCTCCCCGACATGTAAACGCCTGCTAATGATGTCATTACATCCCGACGAGTGACAAATGGGGGCGACAGATTAACACGGACGGGGGAAGGAGGTGTGGCTTCAGCGGCACTCGCAGGTGTGTGCGCGGGTCGCTCCTCGAACTCCGACCTCGCCCTCGGGCCTGCTGAGCCCCCCCAACCCCCCACCCCCCCGGGATGAGTGTCTCTGCGGACATGTGTGACTGTTACTGAATTTCACGGGGCTCTCTGACGTGCATTTGACTCCACAAATGTTGCGCGTCGCCTGCTCGCTTTCATCCTTCCGCTCATGCAGCCGCGTGCTTTTCGCCAGCTTGCATCATGAGCCCCCACGCGTGCAGGCCTGTACGCGCCTCCCTCCGCTCCAAATGAAGACTCAACTGTCTTTGAGTGTTTTAAAGGAACACGGCAGTTGACTTGGCCTTTTAACTGAGCTGCAGGGTCACCAGAGTCACAGGTGAGTTTTGTCAAATGAACAAAGCTTCAGGTGAGACCTGCACACCGTCGGCTCCTTGGGTGTGCTTCGCGCTACTGGGTTAGCATGCGTGCTAACCTTAACCCAGCCACTGCGTGCTCATGCACGGGCCAACTTCACTGGACTTTCACCGTGACTCCGTTTATGTTCTCTATAAATATTTGGGATGCTTGAATTATGCGTCAGGCGGAACTGAGTAATTGTTCCAAATAATTATTGCCATCTGCATTTCCTGCTATGACATGTGAAACCTTGAAATCAGTGGACTGTTTCACTGTTTATTTCGTTGTCAGTTGCTCAGAGCATCTAATAATAACACGGGGGGGGGTTATATGTGGGTCTCATCTAGATGCACTGACCAAGCGTTGATTCTTCCAATATCAAGCAATGCTCCTGTGGAGAGCGCGTGTCACAGGAGGGAGCGGACCCCCACGAAGGGCTGTAGAACTGGTCCGCTCTTGTTTCCACAGGAGGCGGATGCTGTGGCAGCTACGTCACAGCGAACCAACGCATGGTCGTTCATCTGAAAGACCCTCGGTGGGTCGGCTGCTTCCACGCGTCATCATTTAACCGCGCGGTTGACCAGAATAACGAACGGGGCGTAGACAAGACATCAGAATGCAGAGCCGCCCCTCCACCCTGACGTCTATATTTCCCTCCACCCTCTCCTCCCATCCTGCCTGATGAACTTCCAGTCCGTCAGACCGGTCCTCCTCCTCCCTCCCCTCCCTCCATCATTCATGGCCTACTCCGGAGCGGCTGCCGGGCCCCTGCTGAGTGCCGGTCGGTGTGGCGGCGGCGGTGGGGGGGGGATGGGAGCTGGATGCTTTGCACGTTTTCGAGCAAACTGAAATATTCATGTACGTGTGCCCGTGTCCCTTCACGTGTGCCCCTCCCTCGGCCTTCAGCGTGCGCGCGCACCAAAGAGACAGCTGCTTGTAAAGGCGTCCACGTGTTGCTTGCGTTGTGCACTCTTGTGTGCGCGCGCTGCGTTGTGTTGGGGTTTTTTTTTTGCCAGGTGATGCGTAAAGCCCAGTCGATGGATTTAGCTCCCAAAATAAAACCTCGGCACATCAATTACCCATGAGCTGCTCTGCACGCGCTCACACAAGCGGCGGAGGAGGAAGTAGCAGAACATGCCTCCCTTGTTCTGCATAATAAAAAGCAGTGCGCCGCGCTTAAAAATATCCACGTTCTCAGCAGCGCATTCAGCCTTGTTCTAAATTTAAAACCAGCAGTCGAAGGAGCTGTGGAAACACGTGACTGCATGGCTTCAGCGCGGCGCACGTTTCAAGTCCTTTTCAGTGATTGCAATTAAAAAGGTAGCAGCAGTGAGGCGGTGCATCGGTGTTTTATTTATTAAGTCGGTGT